AACGGGAAAAAACACTATTCACGTTTAATAAGTGCGTACACTTTACCTTACGGGGGTTTAACGAGCTACGTTCGAAATTGTTCTTTGATTGAAATTACGTGTCGTCGCGTGCGGCTTGTGAACTAAATTACCCCGCATCCTATACATTAACAACTGTACGGCCCACCCGGCGGCAAGGAGTACGCGCGGCGTTTTTCAATTGTAATGTACTATATTTACGTAAATTAGTTTACGGATTTGATTATAACGAATCGATTTTAACGTTTTGGTACGAAATATAGTATACGTATAAGCGTATAAGTATACGCGAAAAAACGAAAACAGAATGTGTCTTTTGTTGTTTGTGGATTCTGAACGAAGCGACAAATGTATCGGTTTTATTGGGTAAAGCGAATTGGCGGAACAGGGAAAGGTACGTTTTTGACGGACACCGGCCATGCCCGCTAACCCGACGTCGGTGGAAAACGTGGGTCCGTCTCAATGTAATAGTACTGCCGCCCTCGGATTCTCGTTCCACGCCGCGGTCGCGAACGGGTTTCCGCGCGGGCAAAACGACGGCGGCAGGGACACGACGACGGGCGGTTCGGCGGCGGCGGCGGTGCCGTTAATCACCCTGTATATATTATCGCGTGCACCCCGAGTTCGCGGTCTCGTTCTAATTCGACGCGTGCGCTCGTCGCGGTCGTCGGCGGCGCGCACAAAACCGAATACCCTTCGCGGCGGCGGCGCGGAGCGTGCGTAATGTGTGCGTACACAATGGTAAACACGAATAATAATCGTCGCCGCCGTCCCCGGGCCCGCGGTTAACCCCGGCGACCCCGTGGAAAAGCAACAGAGAGAAAAAAAAAAAAATTACACAAATAAACAAATCCGGTGCAGTTGTTGTGCGGCGCGGGCTTCGGCCGAACGACAGCCACCCGCCCCCCTACACCGGCGTACGATTCTCCCACGTGATTTCCGCCGCCGTCGAGTGTAACAATATTATACGCGCGACCGCGCGTTGTTTACAACCGTTGTGTCCGCGCGGCTCGTAAACGGCACGCGACTTTTACGAGTAGTCGTTTCGGAAACCGCGGCCCTTGCCCGCGATCCGCTTCGGCGTTATTGTCCGCGGCGCGTTTATCTGCGATTTTGCTGCGACGAGCGGGAATCGTCGACGGCCCGGACGGAACGCGCGCGCCCCCGCCGCGAATCTCGAGAGTCTCCGTCGCGGTTATCGTCGAGTCCGTTCTCGTCACGGGCGACATTGCGGTCGGGCGTCATTGTTGTTGTTACTCTCGTTTCGCGCATTTTCGCGCGTGCTCCGCGTACAGTGTGTACACATTCGGACACGCACTCGGGCGGGCCGACGGCGTTTCATCGGATTTACCGTACGGGCCCGCGGGGTCGGGAACGGCGGCGCGTTTATGCAGGACAGACGGGGGGGGGCGCGGGGCGGGGCCCGCCCCCCGCGTCACCGCCCGCTACCCGCCGCACCCGTCCGTCGATATCCGTTACATCTGTCGCGTGCGTTCGGATTTTCGAAATTATTGAATTTGTCGTTCGGGCGTTGTCACTGTACCGAGAAATACCGAGAAAATCCGGAAATGACGTTTTCACTTAACCACCCAGCGTGCAGCGTATAGTCTTTTGTTTTTCACTCACGTTACCATGGTAGCCCGTCCTATTTCAAGCCAATAATAGGCCGGCACACGGTCAGATAGACTCTTTATTTTAGGTGGTTATTGTTGTTACGACATTTTTATTTGTGTTTATCACAGATTGTCAGATTCTGAGTGGAACGACGAATGTATTGGTTTTACCGTAGACCTAAAAACTACGGACCGTGCATAGACAGAGAACACGTAGGTCGACATCGAGCAAAAGAGATAGAATTATAGGAAAACAATCATGGCGAAAATAATGAAAATATATTTATTTTTTATCTCACGATAGTATACTATAATCATGTGTGAATTTTAATTTATATTATTTATAATAAATCGTAGTTTATTTGTAATTTATAATTTATAAGTGCATTTACATATTTTTTTTTTTTAAATTTCCTTGTTTAATTTAGCTAATATTTTATTAGTAAATAAATTGTATTACTAATATTTATATAGACATTTAAAATAAAATGTAAACACTGCTCAATAAAAAGATGTGGGACTACAGCAGGACAAGGAATACAAATTCACAAGTATTGTTAAATTCCAGAAAGAAATCGGACTGGGTTTATCAAACCACATACCTACTCAGTTTCTGATTAGTAAACATTTATTGCAATTAATTAAAGTAATATCAAAAAAATATTTAACTGCTCGACTACATCATTATAATAAAAAACTCACACAGCCGACAAATAGAATTTGATCACAATTCACGAAATTCAGATTCAAACATCAATAGGTTCAATTAAATTTAATCTATAACTCGTACCATGTCCATTTTTTAATAACTAGTGTTTATTTTACATACAAACCAATTAATATATAAATATTAAACTTATTATTATTTTCAATTTTGTATTATTAATGTTTTATATCTGTGGAATAAAAAAATTATAATATATTCAATTCCATATGATATGCCTACTTATCATGCGATAGGCGAAGGGGGGGGTTGGTTGAATGCGTGGTTTTTAGTTAATAGGTCTATGGTTATTATAATGATGTTTATTTATTTATTTATTTTTTTATGTGAACATTTTTTTTTTCCAGATAACATACTCCGATCATCAAGTATAGCACCTTTTCTGAAGAGAAATGTTCTCTGGGTGGTACTTTGGAGAGATCATTTTTCTGAAATTCTCATTCATATTCAAGATAATAAGGAAAACCTCGGTCTTTAGGTTGAAAGATTGAAAGATTAAAAATAAGGTTCTCATTGGTAAACCGTTTTTATTTATTTATTGTTATTATTAAGTTTTTATTATTTTAATCTTTTAAAACAATCATCGTTGCTATGGAAACGCACATAGTTGTAATCATTTTACCATAATATGACATATGCCTTATATTGTATTGTTGATAAGGAACATTGTCAACTTAACTCCTCCCAGAATCAAATTTTCGTTAGTAATGTTTCATCGTTGCTTACAGATTTACGAAATTCCCGACTGTATCCTACATTTCCAACTTCCCACCTACAACAGTAGCTGCACCCACGTGAGAAGTATATCCGTCCTTTTTCTTCGAGTTTCGTTTTCGCGACAATAGTAGCATATGTTTTTCTCCGGGGTCACGTGTATTCCCATACCGAAATTCATCAAAATCCGTTCAGTAGTTTTTGCGCGAAACAGCAACAAACGTCCGTGCATCTTCACAAACCATCACATTTATAATAATATATTATTACACGTAGGATCGGATAACTATTACCGTTAAAACGATCGGTTTAAAGTTCGAACTTGAACGAACATGTATTTCGATCGAAATTTGCGCCGTGCCGCACGACGCGTTCCGCTTTAAACCGCGCTAAAATCTCCGCGTCCGACGTACCCAAGTACTGGCCTCCGCTCTCCCGCGTTTCGAGCACTGTTTCCGTACGGATTTTCGGGGGGATGGTAGAAAAGAATAAATAATGAAAACCGACGCGATAAACCGTCTCGCGTGAAATTTTATTCAATTGTGCCGTAGTACGGCGTGTGCATTATAGTCGTCGAAACCGACGCGACTGTTTCCTTTACAAACCGCGCCCCGGCGTTTGCCGTCGTCGTGCAAATCGCATGTTATTATTATTGTTTTCTTCGAGAGCGGCGGGTACCGGACGGAACGTATGCTCGTGGCGGCGGCTGCGGCGTACGGCCGGAGTGCCGCGCGCCGCCGCCGGCACGTGCGCCCGGCCGACCGGACAATAATTTCCGTAATCCCTCGGGCACGTTTAATACACGATCGAGAGCTGGTTTTCGTGTTTTTTTTTTTTTTTTTTTTTTCGGCTCCTCGTCCGGATACTGGTGGAGAAAAAAAAAATAATAATAAAAAATTAATATAATACAATATTGTCGAACTATTTCTACGCGTCGCCTACACGGTTAATTTACATAATAATTTACGGACGCGCACGGTCCGACACCTCAATTATATTCCGTACCGCGGAGCGGGGCACGCGCTCGGGGTCGCCTATATGGCTCGGGGATTTGAATTAATTATCGTTTGTATTGTACGTGTACGTAGGTACGTATTATTGTACGATATTATCGTCGACGAAGGAAACGGGCGGAGGGGAAACCTCGGGCCGAATTCGGGCGCACTTTATTAACACGTTATTCGGTTTTATATTATGATTGACAGACCGCCGGCCGAGTCTGGCCGCTATCCGCGCGTCGATCGAAATTATTGCGTGCGTTTTATGAACCGCGCGGCTTTCGCGTTATCGACGGCGGCGGCTGTCGCGTTATCGACCGGACTCGGCGGACAACGGCCCAGTCCACTATAGAGACGTGTAGTTCGTGAGCAAGTCGACTCTTGTTCAAACGAACCGAACGGGTCGAATCAGTACTTTCAGATTCGACGATTTCCCCACTACCCATCTACAATAATGGCCACATCCGTCCCCAGTATCAGTATTAAGTTTTATTTGATTCATAAAAATATTATTTTAAGTAGGTAGGAAATTGAGATTAAAAAAAAATATATATATGAAAAACTACAACATCATATTATTTATACGTCAATTTACATATCAATGATATTCATCGTTACGTTCAAATATATTAGTAAAATTTAATTTATTTGTCAGGATACGTATCATTATTCGTGTGAAAATATATTATGATAAATAGAATATTAGAATATTAGAAAAATATACGTATTAAGACAGTAAAACAAATTTTAAAATTTTAAAAAAAAAAAACAGTTGTTATTTATTATTATGACAATATTCGGTCGTTAAGGTAATTTTTTTCCACGTACCGAATAAACACATAATATATTTCACTAAATATCGATGGTCCTTTCGCGCATAAGTATTTGTTGGTATTTTAATTCGTGTGTTCTTGATTCTCTTCATTAAACAATATGGATACAAATACAACCGTAGTTTACTCGGTCACCGTAAGGTGTACCACGAGAGCCAATAGCAGTTCTATTGATAATTCAACTGGAAAAAAAAGGCAACGGTCGCCGTCGCCGACGGATAACGTGCCTTCAAAGCAATCCAAAAAAAGTCCGAAGCGTGACGGAGAACTGCAACCACGTAAGTTTCTGTACTTCTTTATTATAATATTTTTTTTGTTCGCTGTTGTACACGACGGACGCAGTGTTACTAAATACTGTTTTCACAAGTGTATACATTTGAAATATCGCATAATTGTAGTTTTTGAATTAATAATACTTAAAAACACGTTCTGTAACTGTATAATGCGTTTTCTGAAATGTGCAGAATTAGTGGTATCTCCATCNGATATTTTTTACTTCTTTATTATGATATTTTTTTTGTTCGCTGTTGTACACGACGGACGCAGTGTTACTAGACGGACGCAGTGTTACTAAATATTGTTTTCACAAGTGTATACATTTGAAATATCGCATAATTGTAGTTTTTGAATTAATAATACTTAAAAACACGTTTTGTAACTGTGTAATGAAATGTGCAGAATTAGCGGTATCTCCATCGCGAAGTCCAACTTCTGCGACCTACAGNGATGATGAAACCGACGACGAAACAGTTAGTCTGATGTCACCGTCGTAAGTATCTTTGACCGAATCGTAACTAATATTGTTTTATATTAAAAAACAAAAATTAATATTATTCGCACAGCCTTCGTTCTGCGTCACCGCCACCGGATCTGAGTACTGGACGTTCGTTATACGAACTGCTCATGTCAGCTAGCGATCTATCAGATGGCGATTTCGACGACGGCAGTACTCACAGTAGGTCGCCATCACCGCCGTAAGTACAAGTATTTTTGACCGTATCGTAACTAATATTGTTTTATATTAAAAAACAAAAATTAATATTATTTACACAGCCTTCGTTATGCGTCACCGCCACCGGACTTGTTTATTAGACGTCCGTTATACGAATTACTCATGTCAGCTAGCGATCTGTCGGACGGCGATTTCAACGATGACAGTGATTACGGTAGTTCGTCATCACCGCCGTAAGTACAAGTATCTTTGACCGTTTCGTAACTAATATTGTTTTATATTAAAAAAAACAAAAATTAATATTATTCGCACAGCCTTCGTTATGCGTCACCGCCACCGGATCTGAGTACTGGACGTTGGTTATACGAACTACTCATGTCAGCTAGCGATCTGACAGATGGCGATTTCCACGACGACAGTACTTACAGTAGGTCGCCATTACCGCCGTAAGTACAAGTATTTTTGACCGTATCGTAACTAATATTGTTTTATATTTTTAAAGAAAAAAAAAAATCGGTGTAGACTGTGTAAATTTTGTGATCTTTCTGATTTGGTCTTAACCAGTTTTCCATTAACATAATTGAAAACTAATATGTAAATATTATTAAATATTATTTAGCTTGTACCCGACCAGCGAAGGACATCTGGACAATCCTATAAATGTTCCGGGCCCCCAAAGTACAGGCTTTAATGCGNAATATTGTTTGACATTTTTAAAGAAAAAAAAAAAATCGGTGTAGACTGTGTAAATTCTGTGATCTTTCTGATTTGGTCTTAACCAGTTTTGCATTAACATAATTGAAAACTAATCTGTAAATATTATTAAATATTATTTAGCTTTTACCCGACCAGCGAAAGACATCTGGACAATCCTATAAATGTTACGGACCCTCAGAGTACAGGCTATAATGCGCCATCTTTGTACAATAGTATGTTGCCAAGTTCGTACAGTATGGCATATTGGCCGTACGACTTAGCATCTTCATCATACATGCCGGTGTCACCAACGTGAGTACTGAATATCTTTGATAGTATCAAAACTAATAATGATGTTTGATTTTTAAAAAACTGTTAAAAAAAAAAAAAAAAAACGGTCAAAAACTTTACCAAATGTATAATTACCTATATTTTTGAAAAGTTAGTTAAATATTTTGTACCGTAGGTAAGTATGAAATTAAACAATTAAACGTTTGTTTACATATATATATATATTTATAGCCCTATCGTATCTCCGCCCAATGGTTCGCAACAATATGACGAGCCCATATATGTTTCGAGTGACAACGAGGCCATATTGATTTCGNAAAAAAAAAACGGTCAAAAACTTTACCAAATGTATAATTACCTATATTTTTGAAAAATTATATTAAATATTTTGTATCGTAGGTAAGTATGAAATTAAACAATTAAACGTTTGTTTACATAGATATATTTATAACCCTATCGTATCTCCGCCCAATGGTTCGCAACAGTATGACGAGCCCATATATGTTTCGAGTGACAACGAGGCCATATTGATTTCGAGTGACGACGACCACATATTGATTTCCAGTGACGACGACCACATATTGATTTCCAGTGATGACGACCACATACTGATTTCCAGTGACGACGACCACATATTGATTTCCAGTGACGACGACCACATATTGATTTCCAGTGGCGACGAAGGCGATGTATACCCTTATGATGTTTGACCCACCGGGCTGTGTTTTTTTTTTTTAATTTTGTTATATACCTTTCACCTCATTGAAGGAATTAATTTTTTTCTTTTTTAGAACTATTATGTTACTATTTGTTTGATTTAATAAACGATAAATCTTTACTATTGTGTTTCTATATTGTTCAACTATTATACAGCCGTTTCAAATAAGGCAAAAAAACATAATAATTATGAGTAGATGATATTTTTCAAATAACATTACTCATAGTTTAAAAATATTAGAAATATTAAATTCCTTATCAGACAACAACAGAAAAATTAAACTACTTAAAAATACCTTATTTATAACATAGTAATAATAAAACTTAAAAATTTAAAACTAATAATGAACATTTTTTTACAATTAAAAAAAAAAAAATTGTTTATTTATTTTTACATAATTACTTTTATAAGATCTTTCTAAGGAACTAAAAATCAAAATTTTTTTAAATTATAATCTTAAAATTAATATTACAGTTATTCTGTCTTGAAAAAACATTTTAAATAAATCAATTAGTCCATAAATTAATGGCAATAGTAAAAGTTTAAAATAATCAAACAGTAAAAAACAATAACTCTACATCATTTTCAATTGATGTACGTGTGTTTTGCTCTTTCTTCTGTATATCATTATATGTTCTCTAAAACCGGATGCTGTCCATTGGAATTTCAAGTTCCTCTCCTTTTCCGCCATTATAACTTACTACTCCTCTTAATTTAAACGTTTCATCTCCAACTTTTAAAAATGTTTCCAAATTATTTAACTTTGCTGTAATTGATCGTCTAAAGTCTTGTTTTACTAAATGAAGTGGAACACTCTCGATGCTAGTTGTTACTTTTAAATCTTAATAAAAACAATCAATTTTAAAAAACATTGATAAATTCTTTTAGATTCTAAGAACTAAAACACACGGTTTCAAGTTGTATTTCAGTAAAAAAATATAAACATAAATCCAATTTGTATTAATATTTACCTGGAGGAATTGAGTTCAATTCAGTAATTACTAGCTTTTACTTTTACTGTCGCTTATTTTATTTCCACAAAAAGAACAATTTCTTTCAGAATCTCAATATGTTTTCACAGATCATTCGCTATATTGATTTGACCACGATTTACATTTAATGAAAGCTGTATTGACGTGATTTTTGATACAGATACAGAACAAAAACCGTGATTTGTACGTTGGATCGTTGCTTATTTGCATAAAATAAACAATTATTATTTATCCATGATTGTCATATATTAATTAATATATTAATGTATTATAATATTATGATAATAATGTACTATAGTATAATAATATATTGACAATGCTGGTGTGTAATATTTTATTGTGAATTTTAAACTAATATTTTCAGTATTCAACAAACAATTATGTTAGTATAGTTATGTTTTTACGGTATAAAATTAAGTAGGTATTATGTGAAACCACTCGCTCCCTTACTAATATGTTTTCTAAACAATTTCCTATGGCTTATTGAAGTGGTTACATATTGGGGAGCACATGAGTTGCGTAAAAAGGGTATTGCGTCCCAAAAAATTCGTGTATTTTAATCAGGATTTCTTAAACAAATTTTGGAAATATGATTACGAATTTGTACAAATTTTGATATCGGTTTTGAGTGTCTGCTGATCTCTGGTAGAAAAGTTGTCCACAGATAAAAAAAAAAAATGATCATCTTTGTAAAACCATAAGCTTCTTCGCTCCACTTAGAATCTAAAATATGTTCACAATTAGTCTGCTATTAGTAGGCTAAATGTACAACGAAATAAAACCGGCATTGATGAGAAAGTTACATGGTCGATGTCTGAATATAATTTCGTTGTAGGTTAGGTTAGGTTAGGTTAGGTATATACGAAACTGCACTTATATCATAAAATAATTACCGCGTGGAGGATAGTACAAAAAGAGAAAAAAAATAAGAATCACGTGGCGTATGATCGAATAAAAAAACACCCATGCTAATTACAAACGACACGATCGGACCGCGGGCTTATTATATGCACGGAAGAAGAAAGAAAGGGGTTGGTCCGGATGAAATTCGTGCGAGGGTAAGTATATAAATGTACGTTGGCGCTGCAGTTTCCTGTGTACACCCAGATCGTTGTTTACCCCCGAGGGATTTGTTATGTTATTATTATTACTGTGTTTATATTTATTTTTTATTGTTATTATTTTTTTTTTCACTCTACGGCAGCCACGCCGACGCCTCCGGCGCTGTTGTTCCCTGTTATTATCGCGTATCCTGCGAATTGGCCGTGTCCGTCGCACGAAACCGACGTATTGGTCGCGTGCGCCACCAATCTGCAGCTTTATAATATAAATAAAAAATAATAATTATAAACAATTACACGACCGTATACGATTCGGTCCTGTCACCAACCCGTTCGGCGTTTTTCTCACGGTTTCCTATTTCCGGTTCTCGTTCGCGTGCCCGTCGCTATTCCGACTTCCCCGGAAAACATCATATTATGTATAGGTCACGCCCGTCTGACCAGATTTTTTTCCTTATCAGATTTACCATTCCTCTCCTCTCCCTCAACCTTATATTAGATCCGAGGCGTTTTAATACAAGCCAAATAGACCAGGATGACAGCCGTTTTACACGTAATAAATCGAACCCAACATATTATGTCATGAGCGAAATGTGAGAACCGCAGACAATATGAGATGCGATTTTTTTCCCGGTAGAACATATATCTACATGGATTTACGTTTCTCGCGATAATTTTTAACAAATCCCGTAAAAATAGCGGAAATCGTCATTAGAATATTAATGTTTAGGGTAGAAATTCTTTTATAAATCGGATATTGGCCGAGTGATATCACTACGAAACCGGATATAAATCATTAAAAGTGCGTTTGAGAATAAAAACAAAAACTTACACTCATTGGTGGAAGGAAAATTGAATGTAAATCTGTACAGAACGATTAACCATTACTAACGAAAAAACGATTCTGACTGGAGTTCGGTTGATAATATTACGTTGTCAATAATATACGAGTATATGTCATATTATGATAAAATAATTGCATATGTATTAACCATTTTCTTTAACAATATTTGTTTAATAGTGTACCTATTTTCCCGTTTTTCATCCTTTTTACCCATTTGTTGGGAAAACTCCTGGGAAAATCAAAAAATTACTTCCCTAGAGTACCACCCTAATCAAATTAATTTTAAAAAAAATGCTATTATTTTATATTGGAGCAAAATAGGTAGTAGAAAAGTTGTTCACAGATAAAAAAATAATAATAATTAGGGTTCGGAACTTATTTCACTTAAAATCCACAAAAAACCACTTAAAAACGTCATAAAAGCTCTAAAAGTGCACTTGAAAAATATTTAAAAAGCAAAAACGGTAGAAGGGTTTAATTGTTTCTCCACTAACCGCTTCAAATTATCTAATACAATTTTCTAATACTAAAAAACTAAAGTTGACCCAAAGTTATTTTTTTTTAATACGTACAATTTTATTCAAACAAAATAATTTTTTGTTGATAATTTTTGCCGTGTTAGAAAATTGTATTTAATAATTTAGAGTCGTTAGACAGGCAACATGTAAACTCTTTTACCATTTGATCTAATAATATTTGTTTAAAGTGCTTTTTCAAAGTTATTTTTAACGTTTTTAAGCGCTTTTTTGTGAACTTTGAGTGCAATGAGTCCCGAGCCCTAATAATAATAAAGATCGCTGTAAAATTAATACATTCCTTGCTACACTCAGAATCTAAAATTAAATCAAATACTTTTGGAATTTTTATACTTCATGGTAGACAGTTTTTTAGGCAGTGTTTCTCGCCGTTTAATTTGGAATTTGGCATAATAATTGTTTTAGTCTGCATTAACAACAATGAACAGCTCTCCTACAACAGTGACTTACCCAAGGTACGAAATGTGGCTGACTCTTTTTTGTTTCTGTCGTATACCGAACACCAGCCCCGCCGATGCACTCCCCTGTTATTATCGCTTTGCCAAATTGGCCGTTTCCGTCATACAAAATCAACGCAGTCACGTGCGTATACGGTTTTCCACCGCCCTCGCACAATCCTTTCAAAATATTTCTCACGGTTCCCCGGCTGTCACTTCCGACTTTTAAACCACACTTGTTGCTTTTGACTTTATCAGATGTAATATTGTTATTCACGCAGCTAAAAAGTAATTTAAATTATATAAATTCTGAGATTATACAGATTTTGCTGTTTCAAATTAATACAATGTTCAACTACAATTCATCAAATATGTTTGAAATCCATTCGGAATCCTTTATCGTTTGCAATGATTTACCTTTGAATTCTGTATAATATAAACTTGATTAGTAACTATATATTTTTAATTATCCTACATTAGTAACTTCCTACACACTTGAGTGGCCTACCATAAACCAGTGGACACAATTTTTTCGTTTTCATTCGTTTCCTTTTTTCCAGTTCTATTGTCTTAATTATTATTATTATTATTATACGTTATTACGTTCATTATACGTATAAAGTTTTTTACGTTATCATTATAAATATCTGTTATTAATTGTAATTACGAAACTATAAAAAAAACTTGTAAATCATTTAAATTGTTTAATTCAATAATTTGATTAAACACAGATTTTGAATAGTTAAATTATAAATATTTACACGTATATTAATACTTATTGAGATATTTTTATGCGCAAGTTAGTTTAGGTACATAACAATTAACTAACACAAACTTGAAAATTGAATAAACTAGATATAGCGACAAATAAATAAATTATAAAATGTTAACAATATTAATTTTTTTCTAAATCGCAAAAATAATGAAGTAAAAGTAAAATACATATGTAGCGTTTCCCAATCGCCATTCCGCAGTATAAATCCCAATTTTATTATTATTTTATGAAACACTTATTTACAATTTCACTGATGTATAAATACAAGTCTATTTCTTTAATATTATATTGATCGAGGCTGTGTCTGATTGGCCCGTGTGTGTATGACAGGTCGATTCAAGAACCGGAGAATTCCACGCCACCCTTGTGTTCTGCCCGAACGAATTGCGTACAAAATACTATCTGGGCGAGTTTATTTTATAGTATGCGCGAATGTCAAATGCAGCACAACTTGTGTAGTAGGTACTTTAACTTTATGTATACGTAGCTAAAGGCATTGTAAATCGACGTTTATTTTTCCTTTCAGAATACAAAGCACACTACATAAACCATACATTATTCGATTTTAAACATCGATAAGATATAGAAGCTATAATTTTCGCAAAAAAGTGTTTTTTTTTTTCCTCGGAAACACTCTTTCGGTTAGTAAAAATGTTCCAATTTATTCTTACTGCGCTTTAAAAGATCCCAGTTTGTCGCATGATAATAAAATATTAGAAAAAAATTTAAAACAAACATCAAATAAATTAATCAATAACGGAAAAACAAATACTCTTTTACTTTGCTTAATAATGATTAATGACTTAAATAATTGTCAAATATGAATTAGGGGCAAAATCGCTCATATATAGACAATATTATAAACATTTTTGTATAACATGAAATAATACAGAGTCAATTAATAAGTAAACTATATATGGTTTACAAAATATTGGAACCGAAATCTTTTTATGATTTTCTTAGAAACCTTAAATGAACCGGAACGGAATATTTGTTGCAATTGAATTTTTCGGTTTTTTTTTTCAGTTCCAATTTATACTTCTGTGATACGGAATACAGAATTCCAGGAGCTCGACTCGATAAAAAAAATAATCAGTTACCGAAATAAAAATATTTAAATAATAAACAGTGTTGTCGAACGTCAATTTGTAAAACCCGTCGTCATGATTATTTTAAAATTTATAAATAATTTTGGATGGCGACGTCTGGTGATGTTGATGAATGTTGTCGTTATGTAATAAAATGATTATTAAAAATAATATATAATATTAAATACGCAAATAATAATAATAATACAATAGAAATCGTTTACAATGGCATTCAAGAGACTAGTTAAAATTGGTCATAATCACCGATTGCCATTATAACCAAAATAATTAAATAAAATTTAAAAACTTTATTATGTGTAATATGTGTAATGCGTATGTATTTATATGAACATAATATCGTATTACAATCGGTGTGTCATATTTTCATCATTAAATCATAGGAAACAGACTTTTCCAATATAACCAAAAATAACCGTCATATTTATATTTTATATTTCATATTATTATACAGACGTAATAATAAGCGATACAAGTTAGTACCTACAAAATAGTAGTTTTGCCGTGACACTTAATCTAAAATCATTGCTACCGGTGTCATTATAAAAGGCGTCTTCTGTAATATGAATAATATAAATTGTTATCAGATTGTGAGGTTAGATTAGGTAATGTTAATAATTAGGCGTGTTTTGGCGAATAATCAAATGTAACCGGGTTACTGTATTTTATAAACAAGTCGTTTTGACGATATTCGTGATTACTAACTTATTATATTCTATACCTACCGAAGTTATCACTTACAACTGTAGTCTACTCACGCGCTCCGGATTATGTCCGGTTTTTGTTGAATTTTCCTCGGAAATAGAGACTAATATTATTAAATTATATTATTTCTTTTCTCCGCTACTTTTGAATATTTTTACCAACTCTCTCTGGACCAAAAAAGTTCAAACTCGGGAATTCGAGTTTTTTATAGGCGGTTCGAAGCGATAGAAGTTGAATTTCAACATATTGTTGCGTGGAGATGATGTTTTTTTAGCTTAAAACACACCAACAAATCGCCAAACGAAGACAGGGGATGCAATTGTATACATATGCGGTATTACTGTTAGTATGAAGACTGTGCCTTTGGAAATTTTAAAATTCAACCGCTACGCCTGCCATTATACTATTATATTACCTTTATTCAAAACAAAACACGCGCTCGAGATTGTAATAATATACATAATATAGTCTACTTCGTCACCGTCGAGCGACGGAAAGTGAAATGTATTCCCTCCGTGCCGTTATCATTGTTATAGTTATGTATATTTCTGAAAAGTTTTTTTTTCCACCGCCCTACAATAAATTAAACACAGATAAAAGAGGGATATAACCTGCAGCAGTCAGCAAGCTTTCAGTTGCAGACACGATTAATTTAACGACGACTTGGTGAATACGTACTATCGGGTCCGCCATTTTCCCGGGGGTTCTGTTTTGGCTCCGCCCCGAATCGGGTGAGTACCGCCCGACCAAGGGACGAAACGATTTTTCAACGAGCGTCCGTCGCCGCCGCGATCCAAAACGAAATTCAGTTGTTCGAGCCCGTCCACCAGTACCAGACCGGACGACGTTTCACTAACGGACAGACAGATTTGTCTCTCATTCTTTTCCATCTTAAACATTATATTTTCGTTTTAATGTTTTCCCGTGCGGACGACGCCGGTATCAACATCGAACAATTAATCGCAACACCGCTGTTGTTACTATTATTATGAACCATTCGATGACACCGTCGCCGGATATGCATAACATCTACGGGTTTCACCATCATCACCATCAATCGCCACAACAACAGCACCAACAACAGTCTCCCGATTTGCTGAGAAGTGGCGGTCACGTGGTAACCACCAAAGCCGATTCTTCGTCGTCGTCCCCGTCGCTTTGTTACAAGTGAGTTTATTATTCAAAACAAAAATGATGAAAACAAAAACATATATCAAATATAAATTGCCCGAATATTTTGCTGTCATATTCTTGTACAGTAATCATTTATATATTTATATGTGTTCAATAATAATTGGAACGAAATGTACAACATAACATACTATGTATACTATTTTTAAAAAAAATTGAAAATTATAATAAATTTTGTCGAATGATCCCGTAGTGAACAAGTAATAAAATAATAATTAAACGGTTCGGGCGATAAAAATAAAATCACTGATTTAGAGCCCAGGATTGTATGATAAAGTGTCAAATATAATGCAAATGCGAAGAAAAGGTACCTACCTTTAAATACGCAGTTATCATAATGTACATGATTTTATATTTGACGAAAAAAAAATTACTTTAACCCTAATAACTCTATCAGTTAGGTTAGGAACAATAAATCGAATAAATAATCAAATAATTAAAATCAAAACTAACTTTAAACAAATTACAAGTAAAATATTAAAACTGAATATTGTATACTCTCCGCCGATTGCATTGCACTCCTCAAAAACTTAACAAAAATATAAAAATAAAAAAAAATCAAATACAATTTTTTTATAACAGGAATTAATTTAAGCAAGAAACAATAATATTAACGTTGTTTTTAGATTCAGAGTGGCTTATCAGAAGCTAATGGTTTTACAAAGATGTTTTTTTTTCCCGTGGACGGCTTTTCTACCAGCAATTTTGCTCCAATTTATAGTGATAACAATGTTCCTAAAAGAAAATTTTACAGAGGAGCTATTTTAGAGAGACCATGTTTCGATTTTCTCAAGAGTTTTCCCAGCAAATGTGAAAAACCAGGAAAAACATGGGAAACCGAGAAAACCTTAGGAAAAACGGGAAAATCGGAACAGTTGACAATTATTATTAAAGATAATATACAATGCCTATTAAATTATTTTTCCATAATATAACATATATATTATTGACAAAGCATCACTATCAACTGAACTGCCCTCAGAATCGTTTTTTCAGCAATAGTTAATCGTTGCTAACAGATATACATTAAGTTACCTATAACAGTGGCTGCGCCCGTCCCTTTTATCATAGGGCATCTTTTTAAACATTTTTCTATACAAATAATATATTTTATAATTATTTAAATTATAGATAAGTAATAACAATGATACAAAATGAATGATAATACTAGGTTCAATTTTAAAGAGTGCACCTACCTGACTTATTAAGTTATGTATAGATAACTAATATGACATATCGGTGATATTTCAAATAATTTTATTTTCTTAGATTAACAATTTGAAATTTTGAAATTTGAACAATTTTAATGTGAAAACAAATATAATAATTATTTAACAAGAGAATTACCAACTTTATGGAATCAATACAATGTAAAAACAACTCATCTTTAAGTTTAGCACAAAAATCATAGTGATAAAATATTATAATATTAAAATTATGAACGTAGCGAGGGATCTATTGGATTTACTATGATATGTGTTTTTTTTTCTGTCTGTAAACAACTTTTTAAAAAAAAACTTGCTTTAATCAGAAAATGACAAGAGACTTTAGATGCATTTTGAATCTAATTGATGTAATAGAGAGGATATTTTTAAATTTTGTATGGAATTTTCATAATAATCGAGAAAATGGTGGAAAAAACGTAAAATGAAAACTGACAAATTTACAGCGTACAATTTCATTATTTTAAATTTTGTTTTTTTGTTGTTATTCATATAAAAATAATCGTAATAATAACTTAAGATTTTGAAAAAAAACTTATTTTGACCTTTTCTAGATGTGAGGAAATTTTCATAACATCTTATTGATTTTTTTGCTATTTTTAGTCATTTTATAATTGCAAGTTTTGTATATAGATTTTTTTTGGTAGCAATATGTAGATAATTGGTTTGACTTCATAGAAATGCTTACAGGAGGTTTATTATAAGTTGTACACGGTGGCCAAAAAAAGTAAAATGTAGTATAACTTTGGTGAAATTTGATAATTTTTGGTAGAAAAGTTGTCAACAAAAACAAGTAGTATAAACCATAAAATAATGTATACATAATATAAAATACGTCATAATGTATGCAATCAATTTAGAAAAAAAACAAACAAACATACTTCATACGATAATTGGAAAATCAGTAATATTTACGATTTAAAAATAATACATTTCCTAAATTTTCCTGTTTTTCCTACGTTTTTTCCTGGTTGAAAACCCTTGAGAAAAGACCTATCAAAAAATGACCTTTTTAATGTACCACCCAGGTCAAATTGGGTGGTACATTAAAACCCCCTTTCAGAAAAAGTGCTATCATGGTAAATCGAAGTAAAATTACCGATACAAAAAATGTAAAGGAAAAAAAAATAAATATCATTGTTAAACCAATACATTCCTCGTTTTACTCAGAATCTAAAATCCATTTTTTTTTTCAATCATTAAGTAGGTAAAACTTATTATTAACATCATGTTAAATGTTTGATCATCTTTACTGGTTAAAACAATTTTATCCTCATAAAACCAAAGAAATCCCTTTGAAGTTGATGATTAAATCAAGATTTCCCCGTAAAAGTTATTTATTAACAAAAACAAAACCCACACATAGTCAAAACATTTTATCCTTCGCCACGTTTAGAATCTAAATCTAGAACAACTCAAGAATTTAAAATACCTATAAATTACCCAAAAATATCCGATTTTGGAATTTTTAACACGTTCAGAAAATACTAACATAGAAGTATTGCTGGGTGAACATTTTTTGTATCTATATGATTATTTCTCACTGAATAAACATAACGAAAGTACAAAACCGATATTGACGATAACACGCGCTGCCCACTCAAATGTTCCCGTTTTTCCAAATTTGTTGGCCGGTTTTCCCCCGTTAAGTTGAGGAAAGTACGAGGAATAATAACAAAATGGTCGTCTCCGTGTACTGAACAGATAAAACTTACCACCAAACACCATCTCTGATTATAGGAACGAATCTTTTGCTCGAAAACTTGTTCACGGGAAACAAATAAATAATACATTTTTAGTTACGATCAAAATTTAAAATGAGTTATATTTTTTTCGTTTCCCCACTGCTTAAATGATTTAAATCCATTGATAGAAAAATAACGAGTACCATGCGTGTTGGAACAATATTTTATATTGTATAATTTGACCATTACTGGATACGAACAATTTCAGTAAAACGTCAACTTTCGCGCAAGATTTCATGTTGACCAACGACACGTGCCAAACACAACAGCAACAAGACGACGACAGTTGCAGTGACGGAGAAGATTCGAGTCTGCCCAGCTGTTCGTTCAGAGCCGTTCATCACACGTCTTCGTCACATTCGCCGTGTTTCGTGGGGACCACCATGAGACAAGGTAATGAATAGATCAAAAATTAAGTTGCATTAAATAAAGCGTGTTATAAAAAATAAAAGGAGTGTGCAGTAATGTTTAAATAGAAAGAGTGTTTTTTAATCTGGAAATTTGTTTAATACAAGTCTTTTACATAGACTTGACAACTAGATCTTTCGACACGAACACCAACTGCGTGTAAAGTTGTACTATAATCAGCTATGCAACGTTAACAAAATATCTTGCTCGGTGGTTTTCGGCATTAATCGTAATAAATAATAGGAATTAATAAGGCTGGGCTTTAATAAAAATATGTCTCGAATGGGTTAATGTTTAAAAAAAAAAAATCTGGATAGTTTTTATTTAAACATTTTAATACATTACATTTAAATATTTTATATAAAACACAACAAAATTAATTACTTCAATCGAGCTTGTGGTAGGATAAATGAGTTATTACAATTTGAAAGTTTTAAATTCTTAAACTATTTACGTACACAACTTTATGTGCAATTTTCATTAAAAACTTAAAAAATAACCGTTCACTTGAAAATCAGTTTACAATAATAATAATTATAATGTTGGTATAAATTGCGTAACTTATATTGCAGATGTTTAAAAAAACAATTATAACTATAGTCATCTTACCTATACGTAAGGGTTGGCTTTTAATGTAATATATACATTTTTTTTTTTTTCAAGGCTCGTGTTCATATCATTTATTTGCTTTATTCTGTCTATTGTTTTTTTTTTCATCTGCATCCTCTATTGTCCACGCAGACAAAAATAATATCATGTGTCGTATAATATATTGTCAAAAATATTATAATATAATGTGTTCGGCACTTTGATCGCTCAATTAACCGCAAGAGTATCGGTTTACGACCCGTATGATTTCTTGACTCCCTCTCGTCTCAAAATTTGACAATTTCAATTAAAAAAAAATAGACGCTCGTGAATATAATAGACGAACGTTTATTATAATATTTGATAATGTACATTTTGTTTCTCATTAATGCGGTTAAGATATTAAGAACACGTGTTATTGAAAACGTTTGTGCTTACCGAAACGAACACGCAGTATTGAGTTACAAGATTTGTAAATACGAATTGCTCGAATTCGGAAGAGAAGCGATGAATGGAGTCATCTTTTAACTTTTGTTTGTATAATATGCCTAATATATTATAGTCATTGATACGTAGTTGTCGATTTGGCTAACAAAGCGATACATGCGTATATACTTCGTAACATATGTGTTATTATTATTATTCCTGGCCGTCCCGTCCGGCGTTATCCGTTTTTGTCGGATCAAATGTTTTAGTATACAAATATAGCTATATTACCTACGATTTCGCTCGTGTGCAGCGTTCATGTCTATTCAGTTTAGTGCGTCTGTATTTCCCTATTTTGATCCAAATAAGTATCTACCGGGTTATTTTGATCCAAATAAGTATCTACCGGGTACCTCCCATCGCAAAGCTTTTCGACCCCCCCGTGGACCAACTGTATAAGTTCAATGAGTTCTCGTTGACCTTTCTGAGAATATCCCATTTTGGTTATCGAATCACCTCTTTTACTCCCCTCGCCGTTAGGAAGCATTTCGACCTTCCCGGGAACATTATCCGCACGGGATTAGCTCGTATTAGTATTGAACGAAAACATTTTTGTATTATTTTATCAATTTTTGTATTATTTTAAATCATACCGTGACTCTCCATTTCCGCCCTTATCCCTATCTCAGTTAGTCACTGTTGTAAATATTTGTCCGTGTTTCCAAATTATTGAAAATCAATGCACCAGAAAGATCTAAAATACTACAAAAAAGCTTTTTTTGTTATTTTTTGATTGGAACATGATTTCTGGTAGAAATACACAAAATAAAATTATTTCGAACTACCTGCTGCAAAATACTAGCTGTTTTCACGGTTTAGCATGTGTACAGTATTAAACGAAAAATTAAAATTAAAACGTGTTTCTTCGTGACTCCCAGTTTCTATCCCGGCCAAATTAGACAGGTGCGTTTATAAAAAAATATTTCGGGAGAGGTTTAAGGTTGTACATTTACATACTCTCATAACAAAGAAGTTTGCATACTTTAAATTGTAGGATTATTTATTTTCCCTTAAATGTTAATATTACATAACATCCATTTTTAGCCTTTTAGGTACCTATTACTAAATTTTACATTAAATATTTTTTTTTAGTGAATATAGCCTAAATGATAGCGCAATTCATATTATTGTGATAATAATGCGGACCATGCAATATCGCCGTATCAGTTATAATTATTTAAAAGCAGGAAAACTACAAAAAATTAGAAATGACAATAATAACAATATATACCTACCATATGTAGTAATAAAATTAAAATAAAACCAAAATTATATTTATCTTCCTCGTTGACAGAAACCACTTGTGACAATCTATTCAAAATCTACTTTCATCATGATTTTCGTGAAACTTTGGGAGGAGGGGAGTTGAACCCCTAACCCCCCCCCCTTATACACGCACCTCCCATCACAGTTATCCATTGTTGCCGGGTAATTAAAAGGTAAAATAAAAATAAAATTAATAACTAATTAATCTAAACCTAAAACTAGTACAAATGAAGAGATGATTGAACGTTATCATCAATGAGTTTCGTTGACGAGTGATAGGCTAATTTTTTTAAAAGTGGATTTCTCAGAAAGCTCAATATTTTACAAAAAATTGTACGTTCTATGAGCAGGTGACTTGTCATCTTCGGTGGGTTCGATGGGGCGGCAAAATATGGCGGCAGCTGCCGCGGACGGTTATTACGGAGCAGGCGGTGGAGGCGCTCACCAAAGTGGTGGCGGCGGTGGCGGCCCTGGAGGTCATCACCACCATCACCATCACCACGGTCACCACCATCACCATCATCATCACAGTAGCACCAACGGGAACAGTCACCATCATCATCATCACGTGGGGGCGGTGCCGACGACGGGCGTGTCGGCGGCCACCGTAGACTCGCAAGGTTCGGGCGGTGGCAGCGGCGGTGGTGGAAGTGGTGGCTACAGGGTGCAAAGGCAAACCGCCAACATACGAGAACGTAGACGGATGTTGAGGTCAGACCTGGCGCCGACTCGGGCAGCGGATAGGCCCACACCGGTCAAAATGTAAGAGCGCCAGCGAACACCAGTGGTGCAAAAGTTGAATATAATATTTATACCTATGCTAATTGAATAATCGTCATAATGATGTATACGTGATTTTGGTGGCCGCATTGGAGATGCGAAATTCACGTATCTTTCCCCTCGTCTCTTTTCCCGACTATTTAGAGTCATCCCGTTCAGATCTTTAATCTCACATTTTTCCGTAATGCAATTGGCGAATTATTTGAATTTAATCTATATTATAATAATTTTATCAAGCGTAATTTGTTTAGCCAGTGATCAATAATTTCTATTTCTCCAATAAATTTAGTGTCATACAAAGCGATTGATCTCTTAAAAAAAATTGTATTTAAATACTCATATTGAGGGTTTTGCCGTTATAGAACCCAGGTATGTAGATAGAGGGTGAGAGAAGGTATATGTATGTAAATATTTTTCTAATGGTGTCTATATAGGTACAGTTTTCTATTAGTGAATTTTCAGACTTCGGCGCCATTGTATAGCGTTCAAAATTAAAGCCCCCTAAACGGCATTTCCTTTACTCTTGCGCTTTGCACAGAGATAATCTCATCACCCCAGCTGCATTTGGTGGGACTGTAAGGGTGTACAGAGCCCAAAGAACACACCCATCCCGCAATGCGATACATTATTATACAAATTCATGTCCAAACATTAAACATGACTTTTAAAACTTCAAACTGCTTCATATTAAACAAACTCTAATTCCGGAGTGCAAATCCATTCGGTATATACATATCTGGATATTCGGGCTTGGATCATGTGAAGCCAAACTCATTATTGATGTAAATTTGATACAATATAGAACCCAATATAACATATCTAAAATTTGGTGTGTATTTTCTTAAATATAACAACAGACTAATAATGTGGGAAACAAAAAATGTATTTATTTATTTATTTATTTATTGATTCTATCCCTATGACTAATCTGACCCAAGTCGTAGAATAAATCAAGAGGCTGATTTTGGCCCTATTTGACCCAAGGATTTGATTGTCCATACTATGTACTGATAGTCTGTATTTTCGTGGAAAATTCGACAAAAACCAACCGTATCGTCGCGATAATACAATTATAATGAATTGTCGTTGGTGTTTAGCAGCATCAACTCGGCGTTTGACGAGCTCCGCGGACACGTGCCTACGTTCCCGTACGAAAAGCGGCTCAGCAAAATCGACACGCTCCGGCTGGCGATCGCGTACATTGCGTTGTTGCGCGAAGTGTTGTCGGCCGACTGCGACCCGCTCACCTACGTCCAACGGTGCCTGAGCGGCGAACGGCAACCGGAACGCGCAGAGTGGAACACCAGCGGTAAGTATCGCTGGGGGTTTACTATAATACTATACAGGGTGTTTTTTTTCCTATCACAATCCAATGATTATCTGTGTGAAGATTTTGAGAAAAATTGATTTTGGTTTTTCTTTTTATTAATAATAATATACCAGGTGGTTTTCAAACTGGGTGTCGTGGCACACCGCCATTCACTAGGAGTGTCGCGATCTTTTGAAATTTGTTTTCCTTAAATTGTGACGAAATTAAATATGAAGTCGTAACTCTTTTGATTACGAATCATTTCAGTTCGGCATACAAATTTTGTAATTAGTTCTAATTTTGGGCAAAAAAATTAAATAACGACAAAAGAGGTCACAGTGTGCCGTGTTCAAAAAAAATTTGAAAACCATTGTAATATACAATCATTTAACGATATTAATAAAATTAAGTGTCTGTCTGTGCGTGATCTCAGGGCCGTCTATGGGTGGAGCGAGCAGGGCTGAATCTGGTGGTTTTCACTTATATTTGGACTCTCGCGTTCGAAAACAAAAACGAATTATAATATACCTAATAGAATAGGAAAATATTCAAAATTTTGACCGGGACCTCGCAAATCCTAAGGATTTGCACAGAGATTTGACAATTTCTATACAGAGGGGATAAATAGGCCCGTGTGTACCTTGAAGACGAAATTCTAAAATCCAACCCCTCAAAGTTAAATTTGATTTCACGAAGTAATGCTATTTTAAAAAAAAAAATGTATGAATTACCGGCCAGCAACGGTTAACTGTGATAGCGACGGTGAAGATCCAGGGAGTCACAGGGAGACACGTATTTATTTTTTTTTTCGTTCAATACTGTGCATGGGCAAATCTGTGCGGGATAACTATTCAGAATTATTACAAATTGTTACCCTTATTCAACTTTTCATTTTAACATCTACTGTCTCTCTTTTCAAACTAGATTGGAAAAGTAAATATGACATTTGCATATAATACTTGCTGCATCAATAAACATGGGGTTTAACTTTCAACGTCAGTTCCTACAATTTGTAGACTCAAATTTCACATTTTTTTTTTTTTTTTTAAGTAGTATAGTTATAGTGGCCACAGACAATCATTAGTAGTCTACTACTTTATGATTAACAATTTCATAATGATTGAAAAAAAAAAAAACAGAAATTAAATTTACTCTTCATTCTCCTGGAAAATGGTTGGATCGTGATAAAAAAAAAAACACATTTAAACCAGTGGCCATTCCGGAGTTTTTTAGTTTACTCGATCATATTAGAAATTAGGCCATCTAGACTTATTGTATTCGTAATTTAATAATACGTTATAATCTATATGAGTCGCTAAATGCAGAATTTTCAAGAAACACAAACATTTCCTTAAGCGCCGCTTACAATTTTATGTTTCAGAAAATGACTGTAGAAACTTACGGACGATATATCTGTCACCATAAGACTGGTGAACAATTTGTTTTTTTATTTTTGTCAAATGTATTAAATATTTTTGTTTTTCTTGAAAAATTTGGGACATGTGCCCTTTCTACGTTTAGCGGTTCATATAATATTATCCATGTAATTATAATTTATGTAACGTTTTTGTGTTCTACAGATCTCACGGCCAGATTATCGTGGATCAACTGGGAGAACTTAGGCGTGAATCCCAACAGACGAGGCGTCTTATCGTCTTACTCGATTCCTGACAACAATTAAAATACATACCTACCTAAATTAATAATTTTTAATAATTTTCTCATACCAATACGTGTGATTATCGCGCGTAATCTTTTTGTTTCAGGAATTCATTGTAATATTATCGTTGTTGATATTTTAATTTTATTATTGATATAATTATATTATATAAGTTTACAGAATAGTTATCAAGATAAATATGTGCAATAGGTGCCTTGCTTGTTGTTTTTTTTTATATATATATATATATGTATAATAGTTTGCAGACACATAATTATTATAATATACTAAACGTGTTATCGTGTTGTCAATATTCTAAACAAAATAAATAATAAAATATTGTACAGGGTAGTAACGTATTTAGGATTTTGTCAAGGAGGGAGATAATGAATTTGGAAATTGTGTTGTAAATCATAATTTCATATTGCATAACAATGCCTATTAGGTTATCAAAAAAAAACATCGATTGCCTATACATTTGTAAAGGTAATTTGTAATTCAATCTGCCTATAAATTATCATTGACATCGAATAATTATTAAAAGTTTATTTGATTATTATACGAGTATTTAAGTACTAATTCAACCGTCTTCAAATTAAGCGGTTTGGATAAGTTTAGTTTCAAATTTCAAAGGTGCAGCTATTCTTGCAATACTTGCATAATACACCACTGATATAGGCCCATGTTCCAAACCTGTATAATATAAAATCTAAAATCAAATTATCGTCAAAAGTTTTCCCCCTGGATTCCCTGGTTCAACTTCCGTCGCTATATCATTACAGTTAACCGTTATTGCATTCAAATTTTTAAAAATTAATTTTCTTTTCAAACTTACTTATATGAATTAGTTATAGGGTTGCTTAGTAATTATAAAAACACCTATAAATTATTATTTCGTATCCAACTCATACTGTTGCAGATTAGTATTTCTACTGGTCAGATCGAGGATTTCAAAAACTATAAACTTCATATGGACAACTCGGAACATTCTGCAAAAACCTAACGTAAATTTCGGAGATTGCCATTAAAATATAAATATATATACAAAAATAGCTGTTTCACCCGGTGTTTCTCGTGCCACTATTTAACCAAAAAAAAAAAAAAATTAGCTAGAAAATGGGTAGTCCGGCTTTAGCAGACTAGAAGTATAACCTCAGTAATCCATAAATCAACAAAAAAAATCATCAATCCTGTTGATTTATATCACTTTATTTTCATAGAAAATGTAGCAGCGAAACTGAACGTCAATTATCGAATTATTTTTGCTGATTTAAGAGTTATACCTTGGTGATACAAATTAAATAAAAAACAAATTTAAAAATACGTATTTTATTAGCTATTAGTAAAAAACTACGACACCTCAAAAATGTATACATACCGCAATTAAATAATACATATTATATAATTTATAAATAATGTTTTACTATTATTGTAGCTGGTAAAACCAGCCTCCAAGATAAAAAAAATAATAATATTTATGACATATTCGGAGTTGGTATTGAGAAGTCTAGTGGAGATTGAGGGAAATATTGATAAGTTTAAGGGAATTAAAAAAAGAAATGAGCTTCGTAGACAAGCAATAAGAACATTCGGAATGGATGTGAAAGATCGCAAGAACTAAAAAAGTTAAAACAAAAATATAAATAAGTGCAAAATCTGTAATAGTTGTTACGAGAATATGCAAAACGAACAGAATAGTAATCATAGAAACTGGTTACTTCAGTGTATTTCTTTTGGCACGGATAAAATATATTTATATTAGGTATATTAATTTTTTGTTACCAGTGGCGGCTCGTGGGGTTCATTGCAGGTGGAGCACAAAAATTTCCCTCATTTTGTACTATTACAACTTTGATCTTACCACCAATTTCTGTTGAATTTTTAAATAAAATATAATTCATTTTATATAGGTACTAGGTAGGTACCTATATCAAAACCTTTTAATATACGTTTTGAACAAAAAATAATTATAAAAAAAAAAAAATATTGTTTAAAAATAAATAATAAATACAGTTAATACAGTTAATCACTAATATTTTTAAATTCTAAATCAATTCTTCTGTCTTTTTTCTTTATAAATACTTTTATGACTTCTTCATTGAAATTTGGTATTTGATTCACCATTTTCTTTTCAATGGATAACATCGCTAATGCAGTTAATCGCTTTTCTGCCGTAGTATTTCGAAGAAATGTTTTTATCCTCTTTAATGTCGAAAACGATCTTTCCGCTTCTGCTGTTGTCATAGGTATTGTTGCTATGATACGAATAAGTTTAAATGTTTCTGAAAATATTTGTTCCACGTTGTTATCAATAATAAATTGTAGTAAATTAACAGCACCTGTTACGCTACGAAAATCTGTTCGTTAATATATAAGTTCCAATTCAGTTTGTAGCTTACTTTTGTTTAAAAAAGGGTAAGCTTTAATTGTATCGTCAACGTATTTTTGCGGAAAATTTTTTTCATACAAAGAAAATTCAGAGGACATAAATAATTGAGACGCGTTTAAATGAGCTTTATATTCGAACCTATCTTTAACGCAGACCATAAGAATATCACAGACTTCTTTTGCAACACAAATTCTAGAAAGTAGTGTATCATCATCATGTTTTCTTATTTTTCTACATTGAGTTTCTTCACCTGGCATTTCATTTTGAAAATTATCGAAATTTCGTCTTTCTTTTTGTATATTTTCTTCAAATCTAGAAATGACATTTTTCACCTCGATAGAGTCAATTTTCCGTTTTTGTAACTGGTTGTATAATATATCTATATGTGGCATTAAACAATGAAAAACATTTAACCAAAATATGAATTTGTCATCAATTAACATTCTACATATAGCGCACGCCTGGTTAATTGCAATATTTTGATTAAATGTATTTTCGATCTCTTCCATACATTCTATTAATAACTCACGNGAAGTTCCATCTAGAATTCGCTGATCGTGGGATTCTATGGTTAACAACTTTATCCAAAACAGCAAATCTTTGCGGAGAATTGGAAAAAAAAATTAGTTACATATGTCAAGTTGGAAAAAAAAATTCTTACATCACGATTTTGGGCTGTAGCTTGACTTAATATTAAATTTAACTGGTGGACATAACAATGAACAAAATGTGCATTTGTATATTCATCTCTTATGAGTTTTTGAACGCCGGAAAGTCGACCACTCATCGCAGCAGCTCCGTCATAACTTTGCGAGATTAATTTGTCGTGATTTTCTATTACTTCTTTTAAGTTATATTTTATGCACTTTGATAGCGACTTTGCATCATGTCCAGATGGATTAAAAAAACCCCAATATATCTCTACCGGCGTACCATCGGATAAAATATAACGAAATATTATGGACATTTGAAATTGTGCTGATACATCTGTTGTTTTGTCAGATATAATAGAAAAGAAATCTGCGTGTTTTATTTCATTTTTTATATTTTGTTGAATAACAAATAGCATACATTCCATCATTTCATTTTGAATTATTTTAGAAAGGCCTTTAAATACTGTAGATTTTTCGATGTGTAATTTTAAAGTTTTGTCCAATTCTGAACTAAAATTAATAAGACCGCGAAATATTCCTGGATTTTCAGAATCTAACTTCTCATTATGCCCTCGAAGAGCAAGTTCGAATGCACCATCATTTTTTATTTCAACCTTTTTCTCAAGAGGTAAACTTGAAAAGTTGATACTCAGTAAATACTCGACCGTAACATAATATCTATCCATGATGAATAATAGAAAAAATATTTAATAAATTAGGTATTGTAAATTTGTAAATATTAAATTACACACACAAAACGACAGTAAACACGAACAGAGAACGAACAAAAAATGACAGTTTATTATCATATTAACAAAATATAAAGTCTGTGCCACGAAAGACGGTCGACGATAGCAATACGAAGTCGACAAGACCGACAAAGTCCCGTGAATCGTAATAAAAATAGAATCCGGGCACGGTTCGACTGTGCCCGGCAACGCCGTATTAATTCTTGTCGAAAGTGGGGGAAATCTAATACCGTTCATCGGCGGCGGCGGCCACAAATTCGTTGTGCCCGCCGCCCAACGCCCGTAAAATATAGTATCGTACGTATTGCACGCAGAAGCAGCCGTATTTATTTTGATTACATTTTTTTTTTTTCTATAATATTTTTAAATAATATGCCAACTATATTATTATGATGGAAACACCAACTCAATTTTAATTTAATATAATTTTCCTTCTTTCTTTCAATTTTGTAGGTAGGGCANGGACCTTAATGGTCTTTAAGACGCCTTAGAAGAAGAAGAAGATATTAATTTGTTGTTACTATAAAAACATGTGACCGCAGAACTGAACGTCACATTTTTATACAATAATACCATCCAAATTCACGACCTTCCCGGTGAATTTTCCGAAAATTATTTTTTATACAAACCTTGTCCTGACAAGTGAGAACACAACAACAACAAAAATTACTCGAAACGGTCGAGCCGTTCTCAAATTATGATCTCTCACACGTGCGGCAATAGATTTTTTTATTTATATAAAGACATATTTTACGATGTATAAGTCCCGTACTCGCGTACTCCGTATATAACTGTGATATTTGTGATATATATATATGCGACGCGAACGGTTTTTGTTGTCGCGTTTGGGTAATCGTTCAACCTAACCGGTCGACTATCGTTGTAGTTAGCTGACCAGTGTTCGTTCTGTGACTGTAGCGCGAACTACCTTCTATGTCAGAATGTATAATTTTCCCATAAAAGATTTAGTGTTAATTTGTATTTTGATCTGATGTGATTTATATTAAAATAAATCTACAAATCTTACAATAACTATTACTTTAGATTGTTGAGAATTAGCATGACGTATTCATCGTAAAATTCTTAACACTTACACTACAAATATTTCGGTCGCAACGTCACAGTCGTCGGATATTTCCGTACCGTCCGGCGGCGCAAAAAAAGACGGCATTTTATCGCGTGGCGTGTACGTGGGTAAGTCGCACAGCTGTCGCAGTTATGCAGAAACACGTTTGCTGATATTTATCCTCACGACTGTGTCTATGACAATTATTGTTATCAATTATTTCGGTTTCAATGGGTTTAAATGGATTCCGAAACCACAGAAAGTAGGTAAATACCTTTTGTTCGGAACAAAAGTACCGACGTTTTTTTTTTTTTAAACTACACATGTATTACACAAGTCTTTTAAGCGTTTCACATCTTTCCTAAGTATAGTAGTAATTGTTAGTCTCATTATTATTATAAAGACTGTACGGAAACATTTGATTGCCGATTATTATAATAAATTGAACCACCCGATCTCTATAGTAACCTATTTTATTTGTTTTATCGTGTTTGCTATTTTATTAAACGTTATTAAAACAAATACATTCGTTTATATTTTAACAGTTTTAACCGTTTAACAAATAGTTTATTTTCGTCCGTCCGAATTTTCGTAATATCAACTATGTATTCTTCGGCTGAATTTAACTTAGTATTCTACAATTTTATTTTCCGAAACATCGGCGTTCGAAACATAGCCGTTAATTTTTTGTTATTTTAGCACCCAAGCGCGGTATCCAGCAAGAAGACGGCGTCCAACCGGCAGCCGCAGAGTCTCGCGAATCGTGTGCCGTTACCAAAGACAACGGCAGAGAGGGCCGTCCTGAAAAAAACCGCGTCGACGGCTTACCCGGACGACATTTCGGTAGTGTGGCAACACGGCGAGGCGGCCAGCTCGGTGAACAGCAGGGCCCATGACTTCGACTCGATACCGTCTAGCATGTACCAGTGGTCGGAATACGGTGACGGGGACGCCGCGAGCTCCGTGTCACAAAATTGCCAGCCGTCGAGGTCTTCCCAGAACGTGGTAAAAAGCGCGGCTAAGAAATCAACCGCTAAATGTCCAAAATTGAACGAGAACAAGAACGCGTTCGATAACCTATGGGCGGTGACCGATGACCCCTTCAAGTTTGCGAAGGTCAAAAAACAGAGCAAAGCTAAAAAACAACAACAGATTTTTAATGTTTACACGTCCGACCAGCCGAAAGCCTCCGCCCCTAGAGGATCCGCAGTCTCGTCATCGTACATCAACCGACAAAAGAAACTCCAGGAAACCCAGGCAGTCAACAGGGGTTTAATCAAAAAGTTATTACAAGTCAAATCGACAATTACGAGATTCCGGTATGTAATCATACTACTATAAATGAAACAAAGAAAATATGTAACATATTTACATATAAAGGAGAAATTGTTTAACAAATGTTTAGACTATAGTATTAGTCTAGAAAATAACAAATTTAAATATAGCCTTTTAACTCTCTAGTTATCTCATAACTCATAAGCCAACTCAACATATTTTTAAACTCGTATAAAAAAAATGCTTTATGTTTTTTATTTACTATATTTATTTAGGTACTTAAAATTGTAAATTGTTTCGTAATTATTTAAAACCATATTATATTTATACTATTATAATTTATAAATTATAGTAGTGCAGTGTTAAAAATGTATAGAGAAAAATATTTTGGAGGAAATTTCATAATTGTGTTTTTGAATTATGAAATATTAAAAAAGTAACAGTTTTTTAAATAATAAAGATAAAGGTATTGTATTTTGTATATCAAACTATATATTTTTTGAATAATACAAAAATCCTATGACATTCCCTTAAAAATATTGTTCTCTATAAATTTCATAATAAGTTTTTTTTTACTCTAAAATCAAAATGAATTTAGTTTTACATATTCTGCATAAGTATTGTTTTTGCATACTACCGGGTAGATGCGGGTATAAGGTCCTCTTAAAGGTCCCAACAAAACTCCTATAATGTGTGTACTGATTTGGGAGGATGGGTGGCTAACCGAATTGTATGTTGAATGTTGATTGAAATTGACTAATTTAGAGATCAGAGATGCCTTTAGTTTTGTGTGTTATATTATTAATATACCTATACTTACGAATACAATAGTCTATATTATGTAGACAGTATAGCTAAACAAAGTTTTTTAAAATGTACTCTTGAAATAATGGAAACTTAATAATGTATTACAATTTCATTTACTTGAGTAATGTTTTGTAGGTGAAACAAGTCCCGTGGAAATGAAATTCAAACATTTCGGAGACTGCAGCATTACATTTGAGGTATGATATTTCTCAAAATTCACTTGAAAAAGAAGTATTTTACCAATTATAGAATATTTTATCTCGATACCTCGATTTTTATAGGTCGTTTCAAACACTTTTTTTTAACCTTTTTAAACTTTGAAGTGTCTTAGATACACGTATGTGAATTTCACAACAAAACTTCCATAGAAAAAACTTCAATAGAAATAAATCACAGTTGATATGGTGCAGTTGATATTTATCACAATTTTAATAATAATTTTTACATTGTTTTTTCTCAATTGTTTAAATATTAAACTGTACCAAAAACATTTGACAAAACTATTAAAAAAATTATACAAATTGACAAATATACAAGTATAATATATATATTATATATAATTGACATTATACAAGTTGACAAATTATAGGGCCTCCAATACAAAGAGGGTTTCTTAAATTATAATTTTCCCAGGCCAATTTTTCACTAGTCCGGCAACTGTATGTCTTTTATTTAATAATACGTGGTTGATTTTATTTTGCGACTCACCATCAGATTTGTCTCTGCCAAATACTGGCATAGACCCACTTATAATCTATAAATATGAGGTGCAGCTCTTTGTCTAACTCGTAATATTTAGCTATAATCGTGATTTCTATGTGTGTTGGTATATGTATCTTTCCGGGGAAAATAGGTCCTATTATTGATTATAAATATCAGTAGTTATAATTATTGGTTCTACTTACAATTAGATACTATAAACACGCAAAATTTACCAGTCTGGTTCCATTTTCACTACTGGTGATACAAATTATAAAAATTCGATTACAAATGATCACGTTACAAATGTTTTCGAGATAATTTAGTTAGCGGGAGGGGGGGGGGTTGGCTAACCATTTGAATCATTTAAAAATTATCATAACTCTAGTACAGTGACGTTACAAAAAAAAATTTAATTAAAAATAGTTACAAATTACAAACTAATATATTATTTGGCAGCTTGGGAATTGCAAACGCTCGGGCCCGATGCATATTTCTATGAATTAAAGTTAAATCATAACGGTTCAATTTCGATGCGTGATTTGATAATTTCCTATGAATTAGTTTTGATGGCTAATCATTAAGATCGTCTATTGCCTGGCGTTTTAAATTGTTGCTTAATTTTTGTCGATTTAATATGTCAAGAGAATCACTTATATGGTTATGCTCATTAGCAGGGTCTAATATTACATTTTTATCGTTTAACTTAAAGTATGACTCGCATGTTTTTTTGCAACACATTCAACGCTGTGTATTGTTTTTTCAATCATTTTCAAAAACGAAATTCCTAATCGTTTATGCAAAGTATTGTTTTATTTTTTTCACTATTCATTACTTCACTCAAAAAAAAATAGCCAACGATGGTCAACGATACACAATCGACACACATACTAACCGTACTTCAAATCGATTCAGATAATCATATTTACTGATATCAGATAATCAAGACGCATTTAATATAGTCGTATAGAAAAACCAATCGTACACGTTAAATAGACGACATATACTAGTATACTAAAAATTTAATCTGTATAATATATAAAACTGGGATATAACCGCAAAGTATAATAAAAATATACTTTGCAGGTAAACGGACGCAATTCGTATAGTCGCTTTATGACGTTTTTTATTTTCGGACGCAATTCGTATGCTGTCGATTTGGTTACTGTGGGGGGAGACTCGTGTGAATTTAGCTCGTCAATGAGAATATAGTCTTAACTTTTGAACTATGAAGTTAAAAAAAAAAATTAAAAAATTGTATTATATGTATTGTATATTGTATGTAATATTTTGGAAGTATTGTTGTGAAATGAAGTGACTGAGTTTACACACATTTTAGATACCTAATGAAATAACGGTAGTTTATAATTTTATTTAATTAAATAAAGATGTTATTTTAGATTTCACGCAGCAAATTGTATGTTATTTAGTGGGAAGTGTACCGTAATTATTTTAAAATCGCCCGTTTCAATGTGTCCCATCTTATATAATACAAAATGGTATCTTATATATGTATCAGAGCATAAATTATATCATATAAAATACTCAAAAGTACCTCTTAATTCCTGTAGTAATATAACGGTCATGTATAGATACAATAATACCAATATTACTTTTGGACCTCAACATAAATCCTTGCACGCAGCCTTCGAGGTTCATAGTAGCAGTGATGCCTTTAACTTCAACTTGTATTAATGGAGTTATTTTATACAGATGTTGTAGAGTTTTTATCATGTGATGATTTATTCGCGATTTTCGTGATATTATCTCATAAAAAAAAATGACATTCAAACAGAATTCCGAATATATATAAAATAATATATTATGAAACAATAATACTTGTGTACAGAAGTATCATACTAATTATTATAATAATAAAAAACCATCAAGATTTCTGAAATTAGTTTATCGCTTATCATAAAAAAATAAAAAAATAAAAACTTTAGGAAATGAACGTTACGTTAAATACGGACAAATCCATCGGAGTCATTTGTATCAAATCGAAACTGTCGATGGTGTTAAGTTTGTGTGTACCGGTCAATGTGGTTTTAGTGATCAGTACGTTGTCCAATCCGGATAATCCGGTTCCCTGACTGAACACCCTATTGTCCCGTCTAAGGTGACAATCCTCTATCGTGTAGCCTACGTTCACCCGGCAGTCATAACCCTTCCGGTGGAGCACCATAAATGCAGACTGTGACGGGAACTGGTTGGTTTCTGGTTCGGTTAATGATCTTAAATTCATCAGGTGACAGTCACAAGGCATCGCTTTGTTTATCATCGTCAATTTAGGCTTGATAGCGTGTTCCAGAAGGGGTTCCACAAAGAACACGTTTGCTGGGTACAGTAGTGCTTCGGACAGCAGATTAGCTACCAGGCTCGGGTTGGACACGTGATCCTTGTAGAATCCGTTGTCGTCAGATACCGTCTCCAACAGTATCCAGTACTTGGTCAACGTCATCTTATTGTCTTCTACACCCTCTTTCATACCTTTCCCGTCGTCGTACTTCGTCCGTCTATCCAACATAAATTCGATTCTGCCGGGCTCCCATCCCGCTACCCCTTGAGCGTGATTCACCAATACGGTTAGCCTATATTTGTCGTCTTCAATGTACGTCATGGAAGTGACCGGGAAATAATTTCCCTCGATGCCGATCTGTCTAGTGGTAACGCGTTTTTGCATTTGAAACCCATTCGAGTCCGTATAAATTACCGCTGGGTTTCCGTTTCTAACGTCCGACGACAATCGCATGATGAGTTCTGTCTCCATATAGTTTGGCGGTGGCCCGTAGTTTACAACGTTCTCTACATACAGACCTCTGCTTTCGATGCCCGAGCCCTGATGATAAAGTCTCACTGTGTGGGTGAGTAAATTATAAAACACTGTAATTTCCGACGAAATCGGACCGGTTATAATGATGATAGCAGATGGGCTATGTTTTAGTATATTATTCTCAGCTTCTTCCGGATTCGGTTTGAACAGATAAGCTCCGCTATTGGACGGCACCGATCGATAAGCCAAAAAGTCGATGTTTATGCTTTTTGGTTTACCCGTGCTCTTGTCTACAACTGAGCTCATTAAACCCGTTGTACCGTCGAACATCACTTTTAGGTGATCGTTTTCTATATGAATGTCACCGGATTCCATGTTTTTACTGTAGAAAATGGAATTTCCCTCGCAATTTGTACAATACACCAACGCTAAGCCTATTTCTTGTTTCGACGATATGTGTATAGTGAATGTGGTCAAACTCAGAGGTTCTAGTACGGCGATGAAAAACAATTCAAACGTCGTTTCCGACATGACTAAAGGTTCCGCGTTCGTTTTATTAATATTACTCCAGACTGGATTTATCTGGTGTTTGACAATCAGCCCGTCGATATCGACTACTTGTACATTCGGTTGTGATACCAATACTTTAATGGGTTCGGTTTTTTTACGGCCATGAGGATTGAACACAACGATTTTGCGAGATTGATTTTTGTGAATTTCCAATGTCAGTTTGTTTGTTAATTGATCGAATGTTCGTCGATTGTTGTCGGGGACGACAATTTCTGAAGTCTTGAGATTTGAATCTTGGTTCATGAGTAGCAGATAATGAATTGCATGACTTTGAATCATCATGCAACTTTGGATGCCTTCGAACAATTTTAAGCCATAGTCGTTCATCACGAACGCTTTCGACGTACCCGTTATGGCGTCATGATGTTGAAACAACGCCAAATTTTGTCTGGCTTTCACCAAATGTTCATACTGTCTGTTTAGCAATTTTATCGAATTGGTATTCTTTTGTGCATTGTTCACGGCAAACGTGTACAGGATTTCCGCAGATCTGAGATTAGCCTCGAGTTCTCTGTCCAGCACTTTCCAATACGGCCGACTGGTAAAGTATCCGCTCCAGTAAACCGGTCGTTTCCATGACACTTCACTGTAAACAAAAAAATCGCCACGCAACGTCGGAAATTTGTTATCGCTTCTACGCCTGAGTTCTTTGAAGAACTCCGAGGGCGTACCGAAACTCACTTCGGCCCCGTGATATCTTTCTTTGTTGGCATTTATATATTTGAACAACTTCTCATAGTTGGTGTACTGTTGATCCCATTCGACTTCGTGATCATAACGGAAATCATCTCCTAGCGCTACCATTCCCACGTTGTGTATTGATACCGATGCGGTTCGAAAGTACTGTTCCATTAGCTGATCAGCTTTTTCTTTTACGTTTGTGTCATTGATAAATTCCGTAATCCGAGAGTCATCGGTTTTTTCACCCTTTATTTTTTTAAAGTCGTATTTTACACATACCTATGAACAATAATAAAGATAATACAAATTTAAATTACTCATACATAAAAATAATAATTCGTATTCCATTGTCAATCGTTATGGGTAAATACTTTTGGATTAGGACCACAAGAATCTTTGATCGTGTATATTTCAAACGGTAACTGGTGCACTAAAATGTCGGTGTGACCGTTTCTGTCCCAGTTTTGTCTCCAGAAAAAATCACCATTTTGGTTCCACGCGAACCATTCCTTCCACGAATAATGTATACGCTGGATGATCGTTCCGTCGGTGATTTTGGAATTTTTCAATAAATAAGGGACAGTAGGGCCATGTCCAAAAGGATCCACCGACCATCCAGTCTTGACATCGATTCCCAAATTGTTTTTAATCCACTGGTGTCCTGTATACAACCAAAATAAAATGAAAAATAGTTTGACATTGTGTAGGTTTTTTTTTTTTAATATTTGTTTTGGTATTCAATTAAAACATCATACGCGAAACGAATTTATATGCTACTCGCCTAAATTAATATTTCTCGAGAAGTAACCTTAAAAATATTAAACAAATATTATATACTTGAATCAAAATACGAGTTATTGAAATTAGGTAGCGTTTTTACCTTCGATCAACTGATCTAACATGCTGTAAACATATGAAGCAGCCTCGTCCGTCATTACCCATCCACCGGTAGTTATCTCCAAACGCCCTTCAGCCAACAACTGATGGACCACTTTCTTTTTATCAGGATGAGCACTGTAAAAAAATAATATGAATAGGCAATTTATTCAACTCAAAAGTCAAAATAAAAAAAAACGTCCTAGGATAATGGAGACGGGTCCAGCCACTGTTATAGGTAATTTAATGTATATCTGTAAGCAACGATAAACCATTCGAAAAAACGATTCACAGAATGTGCTATCATTGTAAATCGGAACGAAATTACTGGTAGAAAAGTTGTACACAGAAAAATAAAGACCATAATATTTTTTTTACTAATACCTACATTTCGTACATTTCGTGCAATTTCGCTCCGATTTACAATAATAGTACTTTTTCTGAAAGTAAACCGGACTGGGAAGGTACTTTAGGGAGGTAATTTTTCGATTTTTTCAAGAGTTTTCTTAACAATGTGATAATCCGAGAAAAACGCAGCAAAACGGAAAAATCGATACGATATAAAAAAAATATTATTATAGAAAATATATAATGCCTGCTTAATTATTTTATCATAATATGACATATATATTGTTGACAAAGCATCACTATCAATTGAAGTGCGTTCAGAATCGAATTTTGTTAGCAATGATTTATCGTTGCTTACAGATATACATTAAATTACCTATAACAGTAGCTGCACCCGTCTTCATTATCCTAGGACGTCTTTTTTTTCTTTTTCTTTTTTTTACCCCAAAGTAAGATTTAATGAAACTCCTGTTAAATTTTCAAGCATTTTTGTTTTGTCTAACGTTTTACCACAATGTACCTACCGAATAAAAATTACGTAAAAAAACTCGCAAAATTAAAATATGAATAAATAGCTCAAAAATGGCTTAAATGTTTTGGAAATGCTACCATCTCTAGAAAATGAATATATATATGTATATATATTTCTGTCCAAATTTCAAGTTTTTTCGAATGTTTTTAACTGAATTACAATAAATAACAAAATAGAAAAATAATAAAACCATTATTTTCGTAAATTTCCCGTTTTTCTTTCGTTTTATCTTGGTTTTTCCCATATATTAAGATAACCGCTTGGAAAATTAAAATATGTCCTTCCAAAAATACCATCTGAACATCATTCCCTTTCAGAAATGGCGCCACATATATATATATTTGAGCAAGATTTATGGTCGACATTTTGTACACAGGATAAAAAAAAAAATAATTTAACATCTTAGTAAAACTCTTAGTAAAACCAATACATTCGTCGCTACACTTATAATCTAAAATTATGATTATTTGGATAAAAAAACGCACGTGAATCATTTCTTACAAATTGTAATTAGTATTTTTTTAACGCTCGTCAACTACGCAATTTGTGGAAGTTTTAATAAAATTTCAAATGGATGTGTATTTAAAAAGATGAACATAATTCACACGTGGGTGCAGTCACTGTTGTAGGTTGGAAGTTAGGAACGTAGGATACAGACGGGAATTTAATATTTACCTATAAACAAACGATAAAACATTACTAACTAAACAACGATTCTGAGCGGAGTTAAGAGGAGTCATGCTCTGTCAACAATATGTATGTCATATTATGGTAAAATAATGACATATGCATTAAATATTTTCTTGTATAATATTTGTTTAATATTGTACCTATTTTCCCGTTCTCTCATTTTTCCCCAGTTTTTGTTGGTTTTCCAATATATTGAGAAAACTCCTGATAAGATCAAAAAATGACCTCTTTAAATTATCTCTCCAGTCCGATTTCCTTTCAGAAAAAGTGCTACATTTAAAAATCGGAGTAATATTTCTGGTAAAAAAGTTGCGCACACAATATTGTAAAGCCATAAGCTTCTTCGCTCAACTCAGTTTTTAAAATAATCTTTCTAGAACGACAATAAAATGAACGAAACATTAAGCAATGGTAGAAAAAAAAAAAAAAACCAGGACGTTTAAAAATTAAGAGATTCGTCTACATCACTGAATTGACTTTATAGACATGACTATAGCAGCGAAGTTAAAGTTATAAAAGAAGTATGAAAAAAGAATAATTACAATATTAAAATAATAGTTAAAATTAAAATTAAACCGGTAAGACAGCATTGACGTAAAATCAGATATTTAACATAACCAGAATAACGATGCAACAGACCAATGCAGTCCAATATTTTTAATCATACCAGAATAATTACATTTTATTCTGTCGGTTCGAAGTCTGAAAAAAGCGGGACGACAAATTTAAGTTTTATCCCAATCTATTGATTTGTAAATGTCACTGAGCATAAACAAGTATTTTAATGTAATTGAGGCGCAAAGTCCACCAAAAAAAAAACGTAAGCGAAAAGAGGAGACGGGTAGTTTTCGAGCGAATGGAGGCGGCTCGTCCGTTTGAATAGCGCTCCACCACTCTTCCACTATCCAAAATTAAAAGAGAAATATCCGAGTCGACAGATATTACAAATTTCAAAACCACAATGTGTTTAAATTGAACCTACGTCCGGTTATCAAATCTTTAGTAAATAGTTTGCTGTCCAAAAATCAAAAGTCATTTCGTGTCCAAAAATGAAGGCAGCATAAAATAAAGGTAATATAACATTTTAAACCTGCGTATTTATTAAATGGTCCGAAACAAATTTCGGTAAAAGTTTATAGTTTCCGATGTAATGAGCGATTGAAAAATCACTACGGGCGCAATACATTATAACTGTTATATTATTAGGATGACAATACGTCCTGTTTACATGCAGGATTGTCAACTTTGTGCCTTGTTGTTCTGATGAACTTTTTTCATGATGCATTTTGTCCCTTTTTTTTTTTTTTTTTTTCATGTCGATGCCAGTTATTCCGTATTCTCATTTTATTTAACTAACTGTAAATATTTTACAGTTTTAGCATACATAAAATGTTATTTTATTTTTGAATAAAATGAATTTGTTTACAAAAATATTCGTTATAGATTATGGCAATGATTGCGATTGTATTCACGACAAATAATAACCACGTAAATCGATACCGGTGATAATTATGATATATTTTAAAGTAGTTAATAATAAAGGCATAATTATGAAAAATTAACAAAAACAAAAACTAATAATTAATAAATAATAAAATAATAAAGTAAAACAAAATTATTAAATGGTTAACACTCGTAAATAAACAAAGGAAATAAGTGTGTAATTTTTATCTATATATTTATTTACTTAATTCAATTAATGAATATTACTTTGTATGTATTACCGAAAATATGTTTTGTTTTTTTTTTTTTTTTTTTTTTTAATTTGGTCACCCCATTATAGTATATATATATATATATATATATATATAAAAATATAATTGTTATTTGTTATATGCATCAATTAAATTACCTACGGTAATTTAATAATATTATATTATCACCACCGAGAACAAAACGATGAAATTAAAAACATAAATCATATCACAATTAAAACAACCGGTGACTTAAAGAATGCGGTGTCGATTTTCGAAATTGTCTTGAATTTTGTGAAATTTACGCGGACAACGATATCTATCTCACTTATTTAATTATAAATATGTACGTTAATTTTGAAAACGGCCATGGCAAGACTTTTCCATTAATCTATATACTGCCCGACTCCCGTTTTACCCACGGCCGTTTTTCGGTCATATGTGCATTCGACAAAAAAATAAAATCAAACGATTTTACAAGGCTTATTTTGAGTTGAAAAATGTGTCGGCCGGACCGTTTAAGTTACATTTTTATTACTTCAATTCAACAAGCGGGTTCCGTGGTGTAGTGGTTATCACATCTGCTTTACACGCAGAAGGTCGCCAGTTCGATCCTGGCCGGAATCACAAATTTTTTGCATTTTTTTTTTTTTTTATTCTATTAAAAATATAATTTAAAATTACGTTTTTAAATAACAGATGATTTTCGATGCGATTTTTGTTTTTTTTTTTTTCAACACAAAACTACGCATGCTACATTTCAACTTGTTACATTTTGTTTTTCCGGGTATCGAACCCTTACCAAACCCTTACCAAAACCTTACCTTATCGAACCCGAAAACTTACCAAATCATTTTTATACGTCCAAAATAGGGTTTTAATAAAACGAACATGTCCCGTTACTACGCCCCTATATATTTGATGTTTTAAAATTGAAAATATAATATTTTTATCGCTTTATGACACGGCGCGTTCAATTTCAACGAAATTCAATATGTCAACACTAATAATTACCATACACACCCAGTTATGTTGATTTTGAACAACCGAACAAATTTAATACGGTGAATGTCTTTATAATGCACAGTGCCTTACAGTGTTATATGAACATTGGCGTGAAAACAATTAATAAAAGATAAGGATAAACCGTTCAGATTGTGATTCCTTATCGCGTAACGTGTTATTCCTGTGAAAAAAAAATGTTTTCACGTCAATTTTCTAAACATTAAAACGGCTATTACTCAGAAACTATTGATCGGGTACGAATTAATGTACATTATAATGTTATAATGTAACATTAAAATGTTTTGAATTTTTTTCCCCAAAATGACGATTTTGAAAATTTTTAAAAGTAAACAAATAGTTATCTTTTTTCAGTGATTAAGGGATGATAAAAAAAATTGTTTCTACATATGTGTCCCGCTGACCCGAAACCCGATTGAAAAAAAAAATTATGATCAACGTTATAAACGTACATTTAACACTGTAGAACGCTTTGTATAACTATTGAAAGGGGTACAATTTGCATTACCTTTTCCACCACAATGAGAAAAACGATATTTCCGACCAGATGAACGTCATGTCTTTATACTTCATCATTTTGTCCACCATATAGTTCAGTATGTGACTAGTTTGCGACTCATAGTAATCCTCGAACGTTTTCAACCAACCCGGATCGTTGTGCGAATGGGGCACGACAAAAATCTAAACATAAAATAAACATTCAAAATAATCTTACATAAGTATATCTGTTAACTCGAAATGGTAAATTTCAAAGTTTGTGTGAAAACATTGATTTTCGAGTCACCCATTCGAAATTCGATGAAAAATCAAACAATGAAAATACCATAAGTAGAAATATAATGCACAGTGATAAGCATAATTTTGTTACGGAGTAAGAGTAAGTAACAATGGGCGAAGTAAAAACTTCAATCTTACGAATCTTTGTACTCCGAAAATTCGTACTTAAATCATTGTAGGGCCACTGTTATCGTCAGACGTCCGGTATCTATACATTTTCCCAGCGGCGTATTGCAGGGCATAGCCCGATGCGTGTCAACAAATTGTGCATGGTCTCGACGCTGCATATAAAACAACCCGTTGCTATATAGCTTATATTGCTCCCCGACATCAAATAGTCTTGCGGTTCAATTAATAGACAGTGTATAGCAGCGGTTCCCAAATTGTGCAACGAGGTCTTACAAAAGAGACCGCGAACCCACCGGCCGCCGCATTACAGTGTAGATACCGGATCGTCGCGCGGACGACATAGGTGTTTTCCTTTTAGATTTGGAGCGCGGTGTGGGGACCTATTGGTTTTGTATGTGACACGTATTAAAATTGTTTTCCTGTGTCTGTAAACGACTGTAACACCAGACATCTTGCTCCGTTGCATCGAGCGTTGCGCATTTTCTAAAAGAAAACCGCAGTATTCAGTTGGGGTAGTATAATTAAAAGATTGTTCGTTGAATTTCCAACGGGGTTTTCAAAATAATTGAGAAAAACCCATGGTTACGCCTCAGTGCGCGTGCCCGCGCATTTATTTACCGATACGCCACTGTGTTCACCGGACATTTCGTTAACTGCATAGTGATTACCGGAGAGTAATGTGTGCCCCGCATGACGCACGGAACAACGTATCAACAATAAATTATAACGCGTGTAACGCTATTTAAAATGGCACACAATTGAATAGCATTAATAATAATAATAACGCGATAAATTACGTCAATTATAAAAAATTAAGTGCCATGAGCTACTATGGTTTACTGCGGGTACACGCGCACACTCGGGAAATGCGACGTGACAGTTTATTGAAACGCGCCAATTTTCGCGGGAAAAAACCGTTTCGGTTCGTGTTATGCGATTCCAACGTTATCTGAATAAACTCACTTTGACCGGAAGGCGCTGTTTGTTAATAACTTCATTCCTGTATGTTTGGTAGCGCGTGTCGAATTTAGGCGTCCAATATATATTGTCTAGTATCCAGTCCGGCTGAAAGAAAAAAGCGTGCATCTTGTTTATACGGATAACAATATTATATTATACAGGGTGTCCCGCGAAGATATACCCCTTGAATATCACCGGAGATAATAAAGATAATCAAATTATGTTATTTTTTTTTTTTTTTTTTTTTGATATTACTCACAGTGATGAGGACTACAAACATTAATATTTGAATTAAATTGATTATTTTCGGAAAATGTTAAGATAGTCGTTCTGTAGAATTTATTTTTCTACAAATTTTAGCGTATCACACATTTATATCCGATGAATAGTTTCTAATGTAACAGCCGTTTGAAATTCTTCTAATCCGTGTGAAAAACGATGTTATCGCGAACGCAGTTAGGTTATTCCTTAAATAAAAAAAAAAATTGAACTCAAACATAAATAATTGTAGTCCTCATCCCTGTGAGTAATATAAAAAAAAAAAAAAACAAAATTTGATTATCATTATTATCTCCAGAGATATTCAAGAGGTACACATCTTCGTGGGACAGTCTGTATAGTATTGTAAAATATTTGAAATAACATAAGTTATTAGAAAATAACTAATCAACGCTGAGCAAGTTAATGAATAATTAAAAAAGTTTTAAATAAAAAAAAAAATCAACTATTTACACATGCATAGTTAATTTAAAGTTAATGTATACAAATGAATTAAGTAAATTAATACACAATAAAAGGTTAAACGCTAAATTTTAACTTAAAATTAATGTAACTTTTAACTTTTTAACTAGCCTGTCAAGTCGCGATATACTCGTAATATAAATACCGGAGTACAAGTTGCTAAATTTAATTTAATACATTTTTGAAATTTATCCAATATTTACAGTCAATATAATAAATTGCCAAAAATTGTATTTAAGTTGCCTACACGAAACTCCTCATATATTGGTTCAACTTCCTTTTTTGTTTTTATAATTTCGTTTGCATAATTTTACAGCTAATACTTTTAACTTCTCTGGTAACCGCCGGATTTAATTGTATGCGTTTTAATTTTCAATGCGAAATACTCTTCTTGGCAAATGTCGATAAACTGCACAAGGAGTTAAATAATAATTTAAATACGTCCGGGGGCAGTTTTGTAAAGAATACATTGATTTTGAAATATCCAGAACACGCGTATCCGGATAAACTAATAATGATAATTAATATATTCGGAATACACACATATTCGAATACTTTTAGAATACACCTGCAATTCCCTGCTTTAACGGTGACTCGATATATTTATTCAAACGAGTTAATGCGATGATAACGTATATTATTCAACAACATTATAAAACAATATAGCGGCGGGTAAACACATCTGCGCAACAAATCTACGGAGACCCATAAAAACGTTTCATAATGAAATATTGAAAAAACCGCACGTATAAATCACGCGCGTATAATAACAACAACAGTACAATAAAAACCGAACAATCCGTATTTAAAACGGTTATAAAAATATGCGCTATAGTAATGCGATCAATAATAAACTGTCGTGGAAATAATATTATACGCATACGTCAGCGTTCATTTATTTTTAGAAACGTACTATGGTAAAATGATCGAACGATATTATAAGACGTATTTCCAAGGTAGACGTTTTTTTAGTATACCATTGTGCACCCGGTTGAAAAAAAAAAAATTCGAAATCTTTAAGGGAAATGTCGGATAATTTGGAAATTGCGCCAAATATTATTGTTTTACCGAACTACTAACCATTTTTAATACTTTAATACTAAAGGATATAATCGCATAAAACTGTAGGATATAACTGCATAATGTTATTATAACCGCGTATAACTGCAAGAACCTAAACGAGAAATTGCCTACATACGACTCCCTATGAAACTGTCGGTATGTAATCCCAATAAAATGGGTAATAACAATGGTATTTCAAGTAGAATAACTCGGATACTTTTCGTTTAAATTTCGATTAAAGCACGTTAAATTTTTTGGAAAAATCATCGCTGATTGATAATTTGCATTAAAACAATATTATGTAGGTTTTTGGCTTGAAAAACTAAAGTGGGTATCGCCACAGAATACTATACTCCTTGAACGTTATGAAAAATCCAAGTATGCGAAAATATCGTCTTTCACTTACACTAAAAAATTTCGAAAATCAGAATTTAAACCTGTGCATAATAATCTAACCGCAGGATTCGTATGCTTTAAAAAATCACCCTGTCGGTTTAAAAAAAAAAAACTAATCGTTATTATTTTATTTTAACGTATACAAATAAATATCTTTAAAGTTTTCGTAAAAATTATGTTAGTTTTGTACTCTGCAATATTTGCGTAGTATTCGTAGCGCTTTTAGTGCGTGTAATTACGGTTTCTAGTTGTAATTAATATTAACTAATACTATACAATTACGGTAAATTTAAATATTTACAATAAGAGACGTAACCGGTCCCCTATACAGGTGTATAAAATATGTTTTAAACGTCACAGATTTACGTTTTGCTGATTTATTGAACAATTGTTTTTATTACTATTATATATATATATAGGCTATATAGGCTATATAGGCTATATAGGAGTATAGGCTATATAGGAGTATAGGCTATAGTGCATTATCGCCGAGAACATAATGTTTGAGATACCGAACAGCCGAACTAAATAAAAATATATACCGTTAAAAACCACAATATTATGAAAATACAAACTATTACTATTATACTCAGTAACGCGCTGCGCCGTGATAGGCCGCCGGACTCGTGTATTATTTAACGTATTACGTTCGCGTTCAATTCTCAGTTACGCAGTGTACAATTTTCTTATAAAAGTTTCAACCACCGAAAATTTTCTAAAAATGTATTTTACAAAATCGTTACTTTCAATTTTTTTTTTAAACGGTTATGGGTATCAAAATTTGCAGAAGTTCCCAAACCCGACAAAAAAAAAAATGAACGGGGTCGTTAAATACAAGAAGATTCTTTTACCGCAAACCGTCATGAAGTTTTCGAATATTTACGTTTACTCGAAACTAATCATTGTGATACTTCACGGAAAGATTATTCATTTCCAATCGTTTTTAATCTAGTTCCATAAAGGAAATAATACGAAATAAAAACCAACCATAACAATATAATATTTATTGTGTATGCATGACAATTTTTACGAGACAAATTGCGTAAAATATGCCGTACACATTTCGAAAGACAAAAACAAAAACTACGTTTCGCTTTATTCCAATAATAGCGAACTAAATAATAACGCGGTTACACGCTCTAAACATCGCGAGTATGCATTTTGTTGAAGATATCGAAAAATGCAAAAACAAAAACGAAAACTCATTATAGAGGTTATACATATCGAGCAGATTTACTCGTATTTATATGCTATAAATAAATAGTACAGTACACGGACGAGAATATTTTACAGTTTCTGTAATGTTTCATCCCCAGTTAAAATATGCTACGCGCAGTCGGAAAATAAATGAATTCGGAGGCAGTATTTAATCCAGGCGTATATGTCAGGGGGCCCTGGAATTTCGTTTACCCTCCCTCCCCCGTTAAATGTGGGTAAATTAACGATTAATTAAATCGCTAAACAAATTTGACACGGAAACGGGAAAACTCTCAAAAATCTCACCTGGAAATCGAGCTGCGGAAACTGCGACACGGTGTCTACGGCAGTTTCGGCCTGATACAGTCGGGGACACGAGCCTATGTCCACGGTGGCCGGAATCTCGGCCTTTCTAAACGGCAGGACGACGTCGGCCAGGAATCGCACGGCGTCTGCGGGACCGGACACCCAGCTAGCCGACGGGCGCGATAACCTCGACGTGCTCGTAAAGTAAAGGCTGAGTATGATCAGCGTGGCCAGGAAAGTCACTATGGCCATCAGCCGCCTGATCATCCAAACGCGGTTCATGGTGAATGTTATTTACGGTATCGCGTAACCGAAACCCGCAACCTAGCCGACCTGTGGCGACGCTCTCGCGGACGACGGGAGAGGATTTCCCAAAAAACAATAATAAAAAATTTATCAACAAAAGTTTCTCCGTCAATACAATATGAATGTTATTTTATTGAATATATAATATTAATCCGGCGATTATGTACTGCGTGCGAAACGACGGACACGTATAATGCGGTAATGTTAAAAAAACATGTCGACCCTAGTGAAAATTGAATTTTATTTTTTTTTCTTCTATTTGTACCAATAACGATATTATCGACCTGACTGTGCACTTGGGCGAACGAGACTGCCGAGTGCGACCGTAAAATGTACGCGTAGTGTGCCGTTGACGATGATCTGTTTTAACCATAGATATTTAACGTTTGGATACGGATATCCTGTAGTAACGTGTGCACGTTTCGCTGCAACCATAACGGCGAGAGAGAGTACCGATTTCGCTCTCTCAAACAAAGTAAGCGATAGTCGTGCAACGGAGATACAGTAATATTAGAGACAGCAACTACTATCAGCTGTTTTCGTGTAATGTAATTTTGTGTTCGACGCCGTATCTAGGTATGTGTTTAATAACATCCGTGGCACCATCAGGTGTCCCGCCGGAGTGTAAATTACACCGACGTCGCCGGTTTTCGCCAAAAATGATTTTTCCGTTTTCCGTCGAATTTATAAAAAGGTCATTCATTTTTCCGCCATTTATAATTCATAGGGTTCTAAAATTTGGGAACCCCTTATGTAAATAATAATTCTATCGGTTTCTAACATTTTGTGAATATGATTTTTTTTTTCATCGAATGTAAAAATGGCCTATGATGATGCAATATTGCAATTTAATATATTGCAAAATCATATAATTGATGAATATGATCCCTCGATTCTCGAAGATATAATATATTGCAAGAAATTTGATTCGATGGTAGGAGATAATTGAATAATAATTACTTATTGTAGTTAAATTATAAAGGGTTTTATTTCTTATTTCAATATGGTTTTTTAACTTCAATTTTATCTGAAAGACAATTAATTATGGGGACGTATCGATTGAGCAGACTTCTCGTCAATGAACTGACCGACACAGCAATGCCATTTATGAAAGCTTCTAACGCATTAAGCGTACAAAGAAAAGTTGGTAAAAAAAGATATTATTCAACTATATTTTTATAATTAAGAGATTTCTAATGTTAGGCATATTTGTTAGTTAGGTACTTATTTATTTGTAGAAGACTCAATTATATCTATTAAAGTGGACGGGCACATGATTTATACCTATCTAGGTACTAATAATTTGTACAAATTGTGTACTAAACTTTCATTAAAGGTATATTTTAACAACCGATAATACTAAATGTTGTTGTACCATGTGACATTGATTATAGAATAGACAATCGATTATTCTAATAATAAAAATCAATGCGTGTGGATTGTAGGTATTAACTATATTAAAACGTCGTAACTCACAAACAATTGTTATCGGCCGTATACTCCACTTTTTCGTGGAATAAAAACTCTTTTTAGCGATAAGCGAATCGACAGTTAAATATCCGATCGAAAATAAAATTTACGATTTACAATATTCGATCACCGTCTAAGAATACACTCGATTGAAAATTAACAATCGAATTAGCTTTATTGATCGAAAATCAAGAATCTAAAAGATTTATTCGACCGATCTTTTCGATTGATTTGAGAATAGGTCCCCGGTACGATAACTAAAAAAAAAAAAACAACAATACCTAAGTAAGTAATGTTATTGTGAAAATCGAATGTACACGAACTGACTTAAGATGATATAGTGAATAATATTTTATTAAGTTTTTTATATAATGTTCAATACAAATCGAATACAGGTAGACAAACAATTTTAATAAAATTATGAAAACTTGATTTAAATGTACGAAAATACAACCAGTTTTCAACCGTCTTAATAGAAAAATAATAATATTAGATATTTACGTAAGGGACTTCAAAACTTTGAAATTTTATTTTTTTAAATTTGGCGGAAACTGGAAGCACGGCTACTTGCTGCCTCTATAGTGATGTCTGGCTTGCAGTCCCACTTCGAGTGCTATATGAGCTATACTCCCGAAAGTAAGTTAATAAACGGGACATATACAGAAACAGGAGACAGATAAGAGTCCTAAACGACGAAATATAAAGAGGTAGGTACTTATCGTTCCATATTGTGTCAATAATTTGTCGTTTCGCATACATTACTACATAGGATCACTGTTATCAGACGGAAAACTACAGCATATAGCCTGGATACGATAATAAATGAGCGAATAGGTGCCCGTATCAAAAATCTGTGATAACACACCCGTCTATTTCGTCATAGAATCCTAGTTGTAGTATCGCACGTAGAATTCCACAATCGGTAGTGCAGGTACATCGCATTGATCACATCGTTTGATGTCCCCTTCAGTACATTAACTATAGAGTGAAATTGCACGTGTATAAATCTTTTCTAAATAGTACCAAATAAAGTCGTTATATGCGTCTGTCCGTTCGAGCGCTTTAGTTCATTTTAAGCCGCGCAACGGGTTTTGATACGGTCTTCACTATCATCTAGGGAAATTAAATTTAAAATAATTACAAATTAAAAATTGTTTTAAAATAAACCGATTTTTGTCACCTCTGATGATACAGAAAAAAAAAATCAGTGTACGAATATTGTAATAGTTGTTACGTGGATACGCACAGCGAACCGTAGCTACTATAAAAATTGTTGGACTGTACTTCTTTTGGCACGGGCAACGCCGAGCGGGACATCTAGTAGAATAACTAATATTATTTCTAACTGTCGTCAACAGTGTCAACTGATACTCATAATCCATCGCCTTGAGCGTACCGATGATTATTATGTTTTATTTATTACGTAATAATTAAAATATTGCCAAGTGAGTAGACGGTGACACCCGATATAATCAGTTTTTGTTTGATTCTATGCGCCGATTGAAAACCGTCTGGTATAAACTATTGGACAAATTGTATACACGCCTGCATAGAAATTCTTACGATCCTTCTCCCCCCCCTCTCCTAGGAGATATAATTCTGATTGTACCACTGGTAGAAATAACAGTATTAATTGTTCGGGGGATTTTGGTCCCAGAACCGTATAATTATGTTGTACGCTGGTTGTGAGGCGCATAGTCGGGGAAATATTATGATTGCGAGTGCAGAAGACGACGATGAACAGGCGATGGGTAGAGTGAAAATGCGGAGGTCTTGTGGCGCCACTGGCGGATAAAGTCGAAGAAGAGTATAACGGGGGTATTTAAAATAAAATCGAAAAACAAAAAAGTATGCGGTATTCCTTTCATTTGTCTGTGTTTTATTAGGTATACGGGCACCGCAACGTTATAATAAGGTAATTTGTTAAACAGTGTGTTTAGGAGTGTCGTTGGCTGTATGAAAGTTGGTTTTGATAAAAACAGAGGCCGAAAATAATTAAAAATCACGAGTCTGTACCTACCTAAAGGGCCCCATATATATTTAAAAAACTTAATAAAAATGCGCTAACTGGCTGTTTTTCCGTTAGCGTTGCAACATTCACTTAATAGCGAGACAATCGTACTACAGGTTGAAATAAATTTTCGCGTTGACATTTTTGATTTCTGTCAATCCGTTGACGAGATATTTCACTATTAAGTTTTGGTCGGAGGAGAGTTGTAGTGGAGTATCAATTGCGTGGAAGTATGGCGCGCGGCGTGTTAATAATGCTCCTCCAACCCAAACTAAAAAGTGGAATATCTCGTCGACGACTAGACAGAAATCAAAAATTTCAATACGTATTAAAATCATTTTAACTAATATTTCATCTATTTTATGGACTTTTAAGTGTAGGTTGCCATTTGAAAATCAAAGGTAGGTAACGGTTTTACCCACCCCCCAAAATAGGGCGTGAAAAAAAACAAATTAATAACAAATCGTAGAGCCGCTTGTTTCTTAAATGTTCCGAAAAAAGTTAAAACTTTTCAAGATAATGAGTGTACCCACTCAATGAATCGATCACCTGATATTTTACGCGCCGTCGTCGTATGATCAATAATGTATCTTTTGTGCGCAGTGAATAATCTATAAAATCGGTCGATCAAAAATGCAATGGAATATAATTTTTAACAAACTCTTACCGACCACAAAAAAAAAAAAAAAAATAAATAAATCGCAAAACATTCAACTCTCGCTCGAATCCTCGATTCTGCCCTGGCCCCTGAAAAGCGACTAGTGTTTTCGGACCTGTTTTCTCCTTAAAAAAAAAAAAAAACCCTTCCGGGGGTATCGCTTACGGAACGGGTGTCTCTGTCGTGCTTTCAATTCTGCATATTCGTATCGCGTTCGCTTATTATTGCAATGCCTATAATATTACTGGAGATTCTAAATAACATTTATATTTGTATAAATACCATACGGAACAACGCCGTCGAGACTAACCGGCTAGGCTACAGTACATATTATAATAGCGGTTTAGAGAATTGAATTTTGATTCGCAATGTTCGCAGTGTAGGTGTTTTTTTTTTTTTTTTTCTAATCGGGTACCTATCCCATTACTGTCTCGTTTCTCAATGTTTTGGCACCGGCGTCCGTTTTGTAATCGGACATGAACGCCGTTGTGTCCGGAATGGCAATTGGGCGTCGCGCTAGACCGAATCGACAAACCGACGCGTATAAAAAGAACCCTCGGACCGGTGCTAAACATCAGTCATCGTTCGTCTGCAGTCTTCAGCGGTCAAACTACACCACACCACAGCCACTAAACTCTCCGACAGTCGACCGACAAACAAAATCGACCGACAATGCAATTCCAAGTGAGTCATATGCGCATACGTTTTTTTTTTCTTTTTTTTCTTTTTTCGTTTTCATCTTTTCTGAAAGTAAATGTTCTCTGGGTGGCACTTTAAAAAGGCCATTTTTTTGAAATTCTCATTAATATTCGAGGAGCGTTCTGTTTCTTTAGGTTTTTTCTGATTGAAAGATTAAAAATAAGGTTGTCATAGGCCACCGTTTTTATTTATTTTTCGTTATTATTATGTTTTTATTATTTTATAAAATCGTTTATAGGCAATCAATGTTTTCACGGAAACGCACATTGTTGAAAAAGCTTTACTATAAATCGAGCTATATTAAAATAAAATCAATTTCGATTTCAATACATTCTTTTAACTAGCTATTCATCTTTATACATCTCTATATTTCTTTATTCTATGTTTAAACATCACTATCGACTGAACTCCGTTCAGATTCGTTTTTTTTCGTCAGCAATGGTTTATCGTTGCTCACACAGATATCAATTAAATTTCCCCTCCATATCCCGCCATCCCGACTTCTCGCCCACATCGTGCGAAGTGCACCGGTTTTTTTTTTGTTTTTGAGATTTAATTCGCTCGCGTTTACTTTTTGAAAACGAATTCCCGTGTGTAAAATACAGGAAAAATAAAAATGAAATGAAAAATGCTCCAATACTATGTGTCCGCAGATGTTATTCGCTTTATTCGCCATGGTCGTGTGCTTCGCCGCCGCCGCCGAAGAAGTCAAATCGTCGCCATCGTCGGCTCAATCCGCCAACGACCGAAGCAAACGCGGTCTCTTAGCCGCCCCGCTGGTGGCCGCTCCGTACGTAGCCTCGCCGTACGCCGCAGCCCCGTACGTAGCCTCGCCGTACGCCGCAGCCCCGTACGTAGCCTCGCCGTACGCCGCCGCCCCGTACGCTGCAGTCGCTTCCCCTTACGTTTCTCCGTACGCCGCGTACCCGTACGCGGCCAAGACTTTGGCCTCCCCGTACGCATATTACCCGTGAACGAGCCGACGCGAAAATTACGCTCGTAAAAAAGCTCTCCGCAAGTTACCGAAAGAATTTGTTCCACGAAAAAAAAAAAAAAATCATGTATATATTCATACTCATATGTCTGTTAACCGTGAAATATTAAAACCGATATAAGAATTGAGATAACGTTTTTGTTAAAATATAAATAAAAATCGAATTTTTTTTTTTTTTTATAACTTTTTGTTTTGTTTATTATATGGTATTGTAATACGTTATACCTATGCGTCAGCCTTGAGTGAATGACTTTTCTAATCACTGTGGAATGGTTTCAGTTTTGTTTTAAACCTATTTTTAATTTATCACACCTGCCCTATGTATCTTAAATAAGCATATATATATATTTTTGTTTAAATAGGAACCCGTCGCCCTTTCTGGACGCTAAAGAATCGATTAGAGTACACGCGCAACGTCAGATTTATCGTTAATAAATGTTGTTAACCGTTAATAGTTTACGCCGGAGCAGTAGGGAAGAGTATTTAAAAGTAGATTTAATACTGTTTTCTCTTCCCTACGCCCGTCCGGTCTAAAGTTTAAACTTGTAAATTACGCACGTTGTAAAACCATCGGTAAGTTGGTTATGAACTTATGGCCGCGAACTGCGGTAGACGGCGATCTTTTTGTGGAAACAAAATCGTAGTCTCGAAGATATTCGAAACGTCCCGTCGAATATTCGCCCGCACGCGCTGTTTTGGTCCCCGTTATAAAACTAAAAGATAACAACAATAACGCGGAGTCGGCGCGTTTCTCTTTTTAAATTCATTTTTCGAAACGTTACAATCGTTCGCAAACGACGGATTTTGTCGTTATTTCTAAACGATGCGTTGAACGTTACATTGTCCGGAATAATGAACACATTATAATGTACCTATAGGAAAATCACGTCGTTCTCGCCCTCCGGATTATCGTCCTCTTTTAATTTTACAACGGGCGATTTTACTTTCAGAGCGAAATTAAGCGGGTTCTGCGCAGACTGCGTAAGGCGGAATGCCGGAAATAAAAGTCCGATTTTACCTTTTTCTTCTTCTTCAAAAAGTCTTAATTTCTTAATAATATAAACAATGAATAATATAATAATACGAAAACAAGTAAAGGAACAAAATTGAAAATGGATACTATAAGAATGTAATATAATTTAAAACTAATAGTTTGTTAATATTCATTTCGTTTACGAATACAATGGCCAATGTTAATTAAAAATCCTTCCACTGATATTTCATTATCAGCCACTGTAGAACACAAGTCCCTTAAACGTTCACAATGTGCATTTCATCTGTATTCGTAAACAAATCATTACTGATGTTACTAATTTTCAACGCCCTTCATTATTTGTACCGTTGACAAATTAACACTCATCTTTTTGCAAAATAAAATCGGACTTTTTTTTCCGACTTCCGCGGCGTATGGGATACTGAGCATGCGCGATCCAGTTCGTCTCTGCTCCGCCATTGTAGACCTACAATTTTACACGTTGTATGCGCTATGGTCATGTAAATGATGATGTGTTATTTTCAATTCGCCGGAAAAAGGCAATAGACAATAATATGAGTAGTTGCCTGTTAACAAATAACATCTGATCGTACACTCCTACACATTTTACCATTGATTATAACAACCGGGTATTTATAAATCAATGGTTCTACCAATGCGTAACCGAAGTAAGGTAATCGCCTGTTTCGATTTTTCAATTATGTCGTCAACAACCGATGGGAAACCTCTGGTGAAAATAATCCTACCATATTATAATATTGCGATCGTCGATTTTTCGTTTGTTCAACGTATTTAGTATAAATTATATTTTATGTGTAAATATACAACAGACGCGGAAAATCCGGGGGGGACATGCGCTCCCCCCCCCCTTAGTCAATGGACACCCATGTCGATGGTAACTGCAGTAGTTTTTTTTTTTTGCGTACGCGTAAAACTCAAACGTATTTTATTGTTAAAAATCAAATATTTCAGATAAGAAAAACCATATTTTTACGAGCAAGTAGTTGGTAGATAGGCACTTCGTAACGAGTACAGGGGACATGGAAATATTGACGCTCGAATAATTTTGCTCTACAAACAGTAGATTATTGGTTTAAAATTTTTTTTTCATTTAATTTTTCTGTCTTGAGTAGGTATTGCCTAGTGTAATAATAAGACCGTGAGCAATGTTGTGAAGTATAACGTTTGACTTTCAATAATTATCATTATCCCGTTCAAATATACTCGAACGTCACATATATAATCAACAACGTTGCACGATAAACCGAACCAATATCATTAATTGCAATTTGCCATTTCCTATCGGCAGACGGTGTTTAAAACTGTTGAAAAATCTGGTACAATATTATCTTTGATAATGATATCGTTTACTCGAGTAGTAGTTAATAGTCTTTTTTTTCGAAAACCGTGTTATCATTCGGTGATTAATTTAACCTTGGCTTATCAGTTATTATCATACGGTTCGCCCTTCACCGTCCTGTTTGCTGGTCGGACGGTAGGTACTCGTTTTTTTTTTCACATTTTGTAAATTACCATTGAATAATTAGCGAGTCTGCGAACACGGGGAACCGGGGGACCATTGGAGGGGAAAGTCGAAAAGTCAATTACATACATTAATGTAAGGACGTTTTGGAACGGTAAGTAACACATTTACAGGTCATAATTATTGGTAAAAAGATTGGTAGGTATAGGTAGATACTGTTTGTGTCCGTCCGTGTTGTCAACCTACTGTGTTTTTTATTCATTATTGTACTTCGGTAGGGATTCTTTAATAATATTATATTGATCTTTATTGATTATTGATCATTCGTTTCATACAATTAACTTTTATTGTGTCGCATACCTACATATATATATATATATATATTTATCTAACACTATAACTTTATTAAATATTACCAGTGTGCTGGTAGAACGGGTAAATAACACCGACTGTGAAATGGCGGCTACCGACGACAAGAGTAAAAAACTGGCACGATGGTACTTCGGTGGCCTCGGTTCGGCCGGCGCTGCATGCTGTACACATCCGCTGGATTTACTCAAGGTAAGCTTTTTGGATTTGCAGTTTGTACAACTGACAGTATGCTTGACTGTGTAAATGCCATCATTCTGTGGTTCAGGTACATTTGCAAACACAGCAAGAAGGAAAACTGTCTGTCAGCCGTTTGGCTTTGAAAATCGTCAAAGAACAAGGTGTATTATCGTTGTACACTGGTATTTCAGCATCTCTGTGTCGGCAACTGTCATATTCAACCGTTCGATTTGGAATTTATGAGGTCTGATAAAGTTTATTTGTATTCATAACTATTTTAATCGCACTGAATTTAGACCAAATACAATATTTATTCTTTAACTGTTGAACTGTTTAAATTTTAAATGCTTGTATTTTGTTTTAACATATTAATTTTTTCTCTATTACGTTACCTATTAGCAAAATTTGTATAATTTACTCATGTTAATGTGGTGGCTATTAAATTATAGAAACCTCAAGTCTTAGATAAATTAAATACATTTTTTTGTGAAAAAGAAGAATAATTGCTCTGTTTTGGATAAATAGCCACAAGTAAATCAAACATCAATTACAAAAAGTAATAGGTACATAAAAAAATATAAACTATATTGTTTTGAAAACAATTTTAAGAAATATATATTTAATTTTAAGGTACTAAAATATTTTAGTAAATATATCAAATTACTTGAATTCTAAACATATTTTATGATTTAATTCTAGGTTGGAAAACAGGCAATGACTGTTCCAGGTGAAAATATCCCGTTTTATAAAACTGTTCTACTTGCTTCAGCAGCAGGAGCAGCTGGTGGTTTTGTGGGTACTCCAGCAGACATGATTAATGTAAGAATGCAGAATGATGTCAAGTTACCGTTGGAAAACCGCAGAAAGTATGAAGATAGTTTTTAAATAAATTACAAATAAACCTTTATAGTATTACTCGTTTGTTGTTTTAGTTACAAGCATGCTTTCGATGGTATGTTGCGTGTTTGGCGAGAGGAAGGGTTCCCCAGATTGTTTTCAGGTGCATCGACAGCAACAATGCGTGCTGTTCTAATGACTGTCGGACAGTTATCGTTCTACGATCAAGTAAAGCAATTACTGTTGGCCTCTGGATACTTTGGTGACAATTCTACAACACACTTCTTGTCCAGTTTAACGGCTGTGAGTATATAATGCGAATTCTAACAATATCTCTGATGCAATTTTCATTATCAAATTTTTCTCATAACTTATAGGGTGCTGTAGCAACAACTCTTACTCAACCGTTGGATGTATTGAAAACTCGTGCCATGAATGCTAAACCTGGAGAATTTTCAGTATGCACAATATTATTTAAAACTGCCGAAAACTATAGGTTTTTCGTTTTAACTAAATACTTTTTTTTTAGGGTACACTTGATTTGGTTAGATACACCGCGAAACTTGGTCCCATGGGATTCTTTAAAGTGAGAACCTTAATATATAATATTACTACTATAAATATATTTTTTCATTTTGATATTATTTTATCTAGGGTTATGTACCGGCATTTGTAAGGTTAGCTCCTCAAACAATTCTCACATTTGTTTTTTTGGAACAATTGCGATTAAACTTGGGCTACTATAAAACATAACCATAGTAACGATCTAGTCATGAAATATGTTTTTATTAAGTTTAAAGAACGATATGCTCTATTGGCATAATCATTTTTCTGTATTAGTCTGTCGTTAAACATTCTTTCATTTTTATTCTAGATATTTATATTATATTAGATATATCATTTTATAAACAGATTACCATAAAATTATAGTATTTTAAGGGGTGTGGCAAATTGTTTAATCATCTATCTTCTTAATGGACTTGGTTTATATATTTTTTAAAAATTTAAGTAACTACAGAATGTTTCTTGGTTTGTCTAACCGAAGCTAAACAAATATATTTTTTAAATTTTTTGTCTTCAATTAAATGTTTCAACAATTTATTTTTGAGACTATCACTGTTTAATCTATTTCTACTATTAAAACTACTGATTTAAATAAATAATTAATTTAGAATTTTCTGTTAATTCACTTTTAAAACATGACAAAGTTAACTAGCCATTTTAATCATTTTATCAAGAGCAACATGTTTTTATGTTTAAAAGTTATACTCATAGATGTTCAGTTTGTTCCAAAAACATATATTTAAAAATACAAATTCCTTATGAAAATCTACAAATAGATCAATAATTGTTTCCAAGATTGTTGTATATTTGTGCCAAACAGTCAAAATATAAAAGCTAAGTAAATGTCTTGCAACTTAAGGAACACTCTGTATTTTGCAACCAAAGCAATATTATGTTATGCAACAAAATCAAAATGTTTATAATTTGAGTTTTAGATTATATTAAAACATTTATTTATTGTTAGTTTATAATATAGAATTATTACAACAAAACATAATAATATTTAATACTAATAGAATTAATAAAAATATTTCTCCAAAAATTTATCGACTGATTAAATATTAATCATCCTTAGATTAATAACACTTTAAAAATAAGTGAAGAATTGATTTATATAATATTTTAATGTTTGAAACTAATTATTAATTGTTTATGTTTGTTAAAAATGAACATTCAATTTATTTCTTTGAAGATTTTTGAGCTTCCATTGGTTGCCAAATTTTTAGATATTATTGTGTTAATTAAATATTAACATTCCTGATTTTTTTTAACCTTTCGGTATAATTATTATATTTAATAGATAAAACATATTTCCATATTAGTGGTAATATAGATTTAGTTGATTTTCGATAGGGTCTAATTTAAAGTACAGAACAAAATAATTATCAAACGATATGTTTACTGGACCAATTAATAATCTCATTAATTGCTTTTAATGTATGTTTTTTTCCAATTTTTTTTATTACAAATATTAAAATGTATTAAGTATTTTTATTGTGTTATATTAACATTCCCAAACAACATGTTTCTAAAATTGTGTGCAATTTATCTTTAACCGCAATAGTTATCATTATTGTTTGTATTCTATGTGAAGTGAATTCAATCGTGAACTTTATTTTTAAAATTACAAGTTCATAATTATTTTTAAAAACCAGAAAAATGATCAAATTCATGTAATACATAATATTATATAAAAATACCTCATAATATTGTATGTATAACTATATAACTATATGTATATATATATATATATTTATATATTTTTTTTTAAATTGTATTATTGTTATAGATCCTTGTTGTTTTAATAATTATAGATTTTATTTGATTTTTGATTTTTATTTTGAATACTGGGATAGTTTATTAATTTTAGAAATGGTGCATTAAATTGGTGAAAATATTTTGGAAATTTTGAAAATGTTTTTATCAAAACAAAATTTGGTAATAATAGACACCATACTTATATATCAACTTATATTCTTTTTAAAGTTAGAATATAAATGTAATAGCTCAATTTTAAAAAAATATATATACTGCATATTACGTATATACAATTATTTGCATTACAATATTTGTTATCAGTTGTCTAAGTAAGATATTGTGATTTTTTTTCATTACATTATTACAGTAGCTACTTTTTATGTTTGTTATTTGTGTCTCTCTATCGTACATAAAATACAATATTATTAAATTATTAAAATACTGTAGTTTTGTTAGATTATTATCTTCATAAACTTTATGTCCCAAATTTAACTTGTATTGATTGTTTAATGTTTATGTTATGTAGGTACATGTAAGAACAGCAACAATAGCTCTTATTATGTTATAAAAAAGCCAAGAAAAATTGATATAAACGGATTTCTTCTTAATTTTTAAAAACTGAAACCCTGAAATTAATTTACTAATAAATTTTTCTCGTCTGGAAAGATCATTTTCATAATATAGCCTATTAAATAGGTACATAACATAATTTGATTTTTGAATACTTATATTAAAACAACGTTAAATTGTTATTATTTTATTATGTTATATCAGAGCACACGCAGAATATTATCTCAGTGGGTGCAGAATTAATTTTATATTATACATTATACATAATTATATACCTATACATAATTCCATATTTATTTTATTACATGTACATAATAAATATGACTTTGTAACTTGAAGAAAAAAATAATAAAGAGCGGACGAGTGGGGCCGCTGTTGCAGGTGGGTAGTTGGGTAGATGGAATACTAAGTTATTTAATTTATACCTGTAACCAATGATAAACTGTTGATAACGAAAAACAATTCGAAACTAAGTTCGGTTAAACATGTTTTGAAAGGATTCTGAGTGGAGCGAAGAAGCCAAGATTTTTGATTACAAATACAGGTTAGTATGTATTATAAAATTGTTTATTGACAATTGGTATAGATGGTTACTAGATGCGGTGCAATCCAAACGGCTTTTTTTCCACTGTTTGTTTTTTTTCAAACTTCTCTCGTCGAAAAAGGTTGCACGAGTAAGTAAATTTCCACACGGCTCCGGTATTCGGTACAACACGTACATTTCTCGTAACAAAATAAGTACAGATGTGACGCAGAAGATATTAGTTTCATATCGTACTTTTTACTATAACAAGTAATAATGAATATATTTAAAATATTGCTGTTTGGATTTCACGTTTCACACATTATAGGCCTATATGGATTGCGGTTTATAGAATTTTACCAGATACGCGATATGACACAATTTGTGTATTTTTGAATTTGTTTTGTTAAATGTATTAAGTATTGAATTTTATTAAAGATATACTTGTGTAATAAAGATTGAAATTACAAATAAAATAGTAAATCGACAAATTTGATACACCGTAAGATAAACCTTTATCGAGCTTCACAAAACATTTGGTTTTGATCTCAGTAACATTGGGAATATTGAAATTGATTTTGAGATTATAGAAATGTGTTGTATAGTATATTGTACCAATAGGCATGTTCTGAAGATGAAAAAAGATTAGTGATTAAATTTACCATTATATATTATAATTAGTAGACGGTTACAGAATCGCCAAAATTATTATTTAAAAATTAAATTAAACAAAGACCAATTTTAAATTAAATGAGTGTCATTGAAAAAAAAAAAAGAAGCATCATCGTAAGACCAATATATTTGGAGCGTTACAAATAAATAATTTAATAATTGGGATTGTTTCTTACAAATGGTCAAAAATGGTCATTTTTTCGGCAAATGCGAAAAACCGGGAAAAAATATGGGAAAATCAGTACAATATTAAACAAATATTATTAAAGTAAACGAATAATGACTATTTGATTATTTTAACATAAAGAGAAATATATATACATATATTGTTGACAAAGCATCAATATCAAGTAAACTATGCTCAGAATCGGTTTTTCGTAATCAATGGTTTATCGTTGCATACAGGTATAAATTAACTTATCTATAACATTGGTGCACGTACAATGTTTCGTGAATGAAATTTTCGCAAGGTAACTATTTAATAATTTATTAGATAGCTGAATATATTTGTGGGAAAATGTGTGGATTATTTTGTTTGTAACTAGCTGACCCGGCAATGCTTCGCTATTGCAAGATTTCTCAAATATTAATTTGATATTTATTTTCTGATGATTATTTTTATTTTAGACCACGTTTAGTCACGTCTCCGGGGTAATGTAGCCATATAAATTTAGCGTCGCCACCGTGGATTCTTCATAATGTTGAAAAAAACTTATATCGGTAGTGTCAATAGAAAAATTGATGCTTATTGCAAATTTTTTTTATTTAATAGATTTAATGTACGAAGCGCTAAAATTAGAGTTCGTGTATGTAAATTGTGTAGGTATAACTATGGATGGAACAAAAGATATGAATTATGCCAGTATTTTGATAATTCAAAGACTTAAAAAATTTCTTTGTAAACGACGTTATCAACTTTTTCTGGATCGGGGGCAAAAATATACAAATTAAATCTGGATGTCACACGTGACATGGTAACATATAGTTGGCTGTCAGAAAAACATTGAACGCTTAGGTCGATTCCAGCAACGTTAAGTGTTTGTCCCTGTGCTTTATTTATAATCATTGCAAATGCTAATTTAACGGGAAATTGTATACGTTTAAATTTAAAAGGTAAATTTGAGGGTATAATTGGTATTCTTGGTAATAAAACAGTTTTTCCATTACCACAGCCCGTTAAGATTATGCACTCGAGTAATGAACTTCTCAATTTTTTATTTGTAGTCTTGNGGGCAAAAATATACAAATTAAATCTGGATGTCACACGTGACAGGGTGACGTATAGTTGACCGTGAGAAAAACATTGAACGCTTAGGTCAATTCCAGCAACGTTAAGTGTTTGTCCCTGTGCTTTATTTATAATCATTGCAAATGGTAATTTAACGGGGAATTGAATACGTTTAAACTTAAAAGGTAAATTTGAGGTTATAATTGGTATTCTTGGTAATAAAACAGTTTTTCCATTACCACAGCCCGTTAAGATTATGCACTCGAGTAATGAACTTCTAAATTTTTTATTTGTAGTCTTGTACCGTCGTAAAGTGTGGGTGGGCTCAAATTTTTCATTAAAATAATAGGTGCCCCCATTTTTAAAATCAGTGTATGTGGTGGGACTCCGGAAAACGTAAAAGAGTTGAGAAATTCAGTTGGAAAATGGTGACAAAATAGCCCTTTCTTGAAATCATTTCAGTGATTTAGAAGATATATTTTGAATGTTCGGGTACACGTTTTGAATCAATTTTGTTTTAATGGGTACTCCTCAATTACAGAAACTTTTAATATTTATTTTATCATTCAATGCTTGAAATTGGCCATTGCCTAATAAAAGTAAATCTTGACAAAATTTATATTATCTTGAACTGTACGTATCACTTTCATATTAGTTTTTAAGTTCTAATATTTGTATATAAGGCCATAAGTAGGATCTTGTCAACGACGTACGATAAACTTCTCGGAACAACGCCGATATCAAACCCAATACAAAAACGTCAGGTTGCAGGTAGCTGGAAACCCGTGGGCCGCCGTGCCGCACAATATGTACAATAATATATATAGGTATACAAAAATTTTAATTAATAATAACTAATTATAAATTAACTTTATCGAACTAAATTTATGCCAAAAACCTTCTCTATGATGTGCTCTTTAATTTAAAAAAAATTGCACGACGATTGAATAAGTAGTTTCGGAGTTTATCCCGAACAAAACAAAGCGACTTCATTTTATACAGTAGTATAGATTTAGGTGTGTAAAAATTCTTGGCTTGTTTTGTCGCAGGCATATAATATTATCAAATCCAATTTTTAATTTTTAATTATTTAATATATTTTCATTTTTTTTTTTTGAAAATAAAACGTCGCATTGATGTTAAATTACTACATTGGACGGTTTTTTAATGGGGTTTTATGCATTTACAAGTATACTATTAACAAATAAATATAATTTAATTTCCCATTTAGAAAAAAACTTATCAATATTCGTAATACAATTTCTTATCGTACACAATTATAATTGACATGAAAAACCACTTATAAAATATTTAAACACCAAACAAATAAGTTAATTAATAGAAGAATACAAATTAAAACTAAACGCATACAAAAATTATATTCTACGATTATTGTATGCACTAATAATAGTTTTAACCAAAAATGTGATATTTTTATTTATAATTCGTATAAGTATTCCAGCTTATATTTTGAATTATTTTAACAGGTGAAAATTTCATTACAATGACGATTTTTTTCTCGATTGAATGGTTATGGGAAAACCAACGGTATTATGTAATGTAACACCTAATTTTAATTTAATATCACTAAGTTTCATATCCGTGTGCACACTGAATTTCCGTAAGAGCTCAGTGAGTAGAACTGTCACAAACACCAAACCATATTTCATTCCTGTAATTGAATACATAAATTTAATAAATTTGAAAATTAAACTATCAATATTATCTTCTACCTATACAACTTCTCGGACCACCACTGAATGCAATGAAACCATATTTATGACGTTTGGCGACGTTCTCGGCGTTAAAGTTATCCGGATTAAATGACTTAGGATTCGGATACAACTCAGGATTATAATGCGTAATCACAGGAGTTATAATACATACTGTTCCTTTGGGCAGTGTGTGATTACCTGAAACTAAATCCATATTTGTTTTATAAATTTACTCTATACATTCAAGTATATAATAAGTCCTTACAAATTGTAACATCATCTTGAAGTTGCCTCAACACAAGTGGGGCAGTCGGGAATAAACGGAGACTTTCGTGTATTACTTGTTTCAGATAAACCATCTTACTCGTGTGGTCGATAGTAATAGGTTCATCGCCGTCACCTAATACGCTATAAATTTCGTCGTATACCTTATCCTGAAAACAACATGTACAAAACTTCTTTTAATATCGAACTTTTAATACGTGATGACTTACTTGTATATCTGGGTACATAGCTAACAATAAAAGGCAATAACTAGCAGTCAATGAAGTGGTTTCGAAACCCTATAAATATAATTATTAATCACCAACCGCGATTGCGTAGTACTTTAAGTATTTTGAACTTACAGCGGCTGCTATAGTTATTACATGACTCATAATATCATCATCGGTTACCCTCTCTTCGGCTTCGTTCGACTCCGTTAAAGTTTCCACCAATCCTGTCAAACGTTTGTCTAAACAATACAAAGGAGAAAAAACCACTGGTAATAGTAATAACTGATATAATTATTAAATTCATTCCAATCTATTCTAATAACTATAGTAAATAAACTACGAAATAATTATTTGAAAAATCAAATAACATAATATCCATCTACACTTTAATTAATTAAAAACTCTCTGGTCGTAATTTACAAAAACAATAACTTACTTTTGACATCGTTAACAATTGTGTCCGAGTTGTTTTTTTTTGAAAAAGTTTGTACATAATCATTTTTCTTTTTCTGGATTATCTGTAAAACTATAATTCATAATAAAAATCGTATCTAATGTTATATCTCGCATACACATACATGCCTCGGTAGATTTTGTACAATTTTATAAGTATTTTCATAGCCAAACAATTTGATATAAAGGTTATATATTACGTCAGGATATAACCAAACTTTTAGTCCTCTACTTATTACCAATTCNTTAACTTATTATGATTGAATTATTAAATATTTAATGATTTTACTTTATTACACCCATTTTAAATCCCATATCTGTCTGAGTGTCAAGATCGTAATCCATCGTTGTTTCTGTAAACGAAAATAAATATTAAATTCACTGATAGCATTATAGTTTTAGGTAGTTATTTAAATACTTACGACAAACTGTATTGAGTGTAATATCTGATACATAATTCAAAATATCAATTGGTTGTGTTTTACCCACTTCCTTCTGTAGATTCTGAGTTAATATTTTAATTTTCTCACGAAAAATTGGGAAAAATGATTCCGTTATATTTTTATATTTAAACAAAGGATTTATCAAACGTCGATGTATTTTCCATTTATTTACTGTATGAATAATATTAACAAAAATTAATTAATGCGGAGATTTCATTGTCGGATCTTTTTACTGCTACTATTCTAATAATTTAGTAGTTAAGTCCACTCGTAAATATTAAATGATATTAATAAAAAACAAAGATAAGTAGGTGTAGCAAAGTTATTTGAACTTATTATATGCACGTAATACTATAGGTAATCTTTATTGGTCTGCTAAACTTATAAATAATATACTCTTACCTGGAGCGGTAATCAAGCCTTCGCCTATTAATTTGACAGCACACTTATACAAACTGCCTTTATCCAAGGCATTTGAACTATTTAAAATAATCTTAACAAACCAATGTTGAAATTTAAATTAGTACGTATATTAATTATTATGATGTGCGTTTGGAAATATTAAGAAAAGATATAATATAACAATAATTATCAACTAAGTGTAACTCATAAAATATGATAATTTTACTTCTGAAAAAACTTTGTTCTATTCATTATTTGTAATGTTTTATTCATAGTCGAATGATCTTTAAACGTGCGTTATTTAAATGAGTTACCTTTAATAAATGCACTGAATGTTTACGATAATTATTGAATTTAAAAACGTTTATAATACAATATTATTTATGTAACAAAAAATTACTTGAATATCTTCTGGCTTGGTAATGAAGATACAAAAACAACTACCAATCCAAAATTTAAACGGACCGTAATTGCATAATTCTCTATACTTCAACAAAAATCCATAGTGATCTAGTTTTTAGAAATTACGTATAATACAGTAATTTGGTATACTTACATAAAATCATTTGTTTCTCTTACCTCTAAAACTTTCTAAACATGATCCTATAATCGGGTAATCCGGAGGACCTTTTAATTTGTTAGCTAATGTTTCAAAGCGCCGACGGTTCCATTTGTCGAAACATAGCAATATCACAAAAACCGAAAGCACCGCGAAAACAATCAACTGTGTTCCAGTCACCGGGAATCCAAATGTTAAGCAATTAAAGTATGCTAAACGAACACCTTGAAACATCTGCATCCTAATAACAGAACAATATCGATAGAATGCCCATAATAAAAATGAATATACGCTTAACTGTTTATTCGTGTGTCAACTATAGCTGCTTAAAAGTGATGCATGATTAATAGTTTTAAGAGAGATATCACGCTTATACTTGATGGTGGATTAACGTTGGGGAGTAGACAATAGTTAACATAAGAAAAAACACCCGATAGTCATATAGTTTGTTACAGATTATAAGATCCCATTAATAATAAATAAAGTAATAATGTATACATTTTTGGTTAATATAACTTTGAAATGGCTATAAAAAATATAGCTCAACTTATTATTTTTAATAATGTGCATACGAATTTTTTTTGGGGTTGTAGAAGTTACTATACACGATGATTCATTAAATGTAATCAGTTTTTTATTTTGAAATATTTGTTTGACAATTTAAGAAACAAACAACTCTAAAATGTTACATTACGATTATTGAATGTCACCTTTATTATTGGAAATGAAATTAAAAAGCTTTAATGTTAATGATGATCTACATAGGTTTGCATCTTCTCAATTTTTTAACATAACGTTTTGAGCTAAGCCAAAATAAATGTTAAAATGTCAAAAGCAAATGTTATGCAATTAAAGTATGCTAAACGAACACCTTGAAACATCTGCATCCTAATAACAGAACAATATCGATAGAATGTTCATAATAAAAATGAATATACGCTTAATCGTTAATTCGTTTGTCAACTATAGCAGCTCAAAAATGATGCATAACATTTGTCAAATAACAAAGTCAAAATAATATGCGAAGTCGAGAATTTGAACTTATGATCACTGAACTGGAAAAATACGTGTATTTAAATAGACGGGCATAGGATCTAAAAACAAAAAAATAGGAATACGCATCAAGAGAAAAATAAAATTATTTAACCCATCATTATCTACTGTAATACATTATTAATTATTAGTGTTGTTATTATTGTCGACTATCACTTCCAAATCGTTTTACTTATGCATAATATGTTATAAGTTATAACATTATAATGTAACTACTCATCGCTGCAACTATATTTTTTTATCACGTTAAAATCATCTACAATCGTATTGTTATAATGTGGATCTGAAGATTTAGATAGATTGAAAATCTGAACACGATTTTTTATTGAGAAGTTGTTTACGGGTAAAAAATTTAAAAATAAAAGAAGCATCATTGTAAGATCAATATATTTGGAGCGTTACAAATAAATAATAATTTTATAATTGGGATTGTTTCTTACCTCACGTTTTTTTTTAGTTTTCAAACTTTGTAGAACATACACCAATTAATTATGAACCGTTTGAATTCTTCAAAGTGTGCTAGCCAGGTAAAATCTGCGTTACCCGGTCACCAAAGTCTTCTTTACCCACCGAAGGAGTGTGTTTATATATTATACTAGCTGTAAATATTGCTATGACTTATCAGGGTAATTTACATTTTTAAGTATCTTATTATTTACTATTATATTTAAACATACTATATACGGGAAAGTAATAATTAAAGACTCATTTGAATATATTATTATGTAAAGAGGAGTGTAATAATTTGAAATCGCATATTTCACAATCATGGGAACTCATAGAAATCAGGCGTTGAAAAATGGTTCACTAAATTATTTTTCGGCAAAACATAGCTTATCTTTTGGAAATCTTTGAAGGGCCTTATCTATTCTTTCACTGATTAGTGATCACTATCAACAATATTTATAATTATTTATTGTCATTTATTACATTGAAAATGTATGACTATATAATATAAATATTATACCACAAACAAACAAACTCGTGTGAATTTTAGTATAAATATAAGAAATACACAAATTAATTATAGATACCACTCTGTAGTGTATATTACCAGTAGTAACGAATTAATTTCAAAAATTTAAATACAGTCATGTACAAATATAAAATATGATTCTTTATCAATGGACGTCCTTCGAACCACCAAAAGTTTACATATTTTATTTTAATTTTGATATAAAAACAAAAACACATTCTCTTAAAGATAATATGGGAAATATAATACAAAAATAAATTAATCTTGGTAACAAATGTGGATTTTAGTATTTATCATTCGTTACTTGAAATTGGCCATTGCCTATTAAAAGTAAATCTTGACAAAATTTATATTATCTTGAACTGTACGTNGTAATCAGTTTTTTATTTTGAAATATTTGTTTGACAATTTAAGAAACAAACAACTCTAAAATGTTACATTACGATTATTGAATGTCACCTTTATTATTGGAAATGAAATTAAAAAGCTTTTATTTTAATGATGATCTACATAGGTTTGCATTTTCTCAATATTTTAACATAATGTTTGGAACAAAGCCAAAATAAATGTTAAAATGTCAAAAGCAAATGTTATGCAATTAAAGTATGCTAAACAAACACTTTGAAACATCTGCATCACAATAAAAAAAGATATCGATAGAATGCGCAAAATAAAAATGAAAATAGGCTTAATCGTTTATTCGTTTGTCAACTATAGCAGCTCAAAAGTGATGCATAACATTTGTCAAATAACAAAGTCAAAATAATATGCGAAGTCGAGAATTAATGCGATGATTTCATTGGCGGATCTCTTTACTGCTACTATTCTAATAATTTAGTAGTATAGTCCTCTCGTAAATATAAAATGATAT